CAGCAAAATGTATAACCTCATGGCCCAAAAAAAAGCCCTCACTTTACCACTATTATCAAACTTACAGGCGAAAGACAGCCTGCTGCGAGAAGCAGCACAAGACGTACTTAAATTAAGTTGCCAACCAGGTGAGGCTACAACAGAACTACATGCATTCTGCAATACCAGAAATAACATGTAGCAGAGCTAAGCAAACCCAAAACCAATTGATTAGCACTGCAATCCTGTCACATCTGGTTGTGAGTGGAGATGACCAATTAAACAACTAAATGAGGATTCATGAACATTCCCATTCTCAGTGACGATGAACTCAGCAAGTCAGTGCAAAAGACAAAGCTGAAATGTTTGCAACCTACAAAGAGGGGTTTAAGTAAACCGATTCTGATCTTTCTCCTAAGGTTCCCAACTTTATTGATGCCAGACCAGTAAGACTCACTCCATTTAATATCAAAAACAGCCATATGCAATAGATGTAGCCAAGGCTATGGGTGCTGGCAATGTCCCACCTGCAGGGTTGGAAGACTTGTGTTTTATAACTAACTGTACCTCCAGCCAAGCAACAGCACTGGTATCTAGCTGACAAATTAGAAAATCAACCAGACACATCCTGTTCACAAAATGCAGGACAGATCCAATCTGGCTAATTACTACCCCTTTGTTCTACTACTGAATCAAGAAGATATCAGCAACAATATTACCAAGTGACATTTACTCATGAACAACCCGTTCACCAATGCTCAGGTCAAGTGCTGCCAGATATCCACTTAGCTTCAAGTGTGAATATAACCTTTATCTAAACAATGGATGGAAGAGCAGAATTTCAGAGCCAAGTTCAGAATGACTGGCCTGGACACTAAAGTAGTTTTTGACAATGTTTGGCATCAGGGACCCCAAGCAAACCTTTAGTCTGGGGTAAAATGCACTATTGGTTGGAATCATACTAAGGAAGAAAGTCCTGGTTGTTGTAAGCCAATCATCTCAGCCCGAGGACACTGCCGGAGTTCTTCAGGGAAGTATCTTTGGCCCAGGAATCTTCAGCAGCTTCATCAATGATCTTCCCGCAATAAAGTTGGAAGTGGAATTTTCCCCGATGAATGCAATGCTTCAGTATCTGAGGAAACCTGTATCCATATGTAACAAGGTCTGCTAACAACACTCAGCCTCAAGTTTATGAGTAATTAGCAACAGATGGGCACCAAACAAGCAATGACCATCTCCAAAAAGAGAGAATCGAAGTATGACATACGATGGTATTACTATCACCAAATCCTTCATGTTTATCCTCTTGGGTGCTTACCACTGACCAGGAACTTAACATACAAACACTGTTCTTATTACAGCAGTGTAGACAGCAAGAATCCCACAGCAAATAACTGACCTTTTAACTTCACAAAGCCATCAATAATGCACAAGTGAAATCTATGAAAGAATACACCCCAACTGCCTGGAAATGTGCATGATAAACCATTCTTCTTGACTGGCAACCTATCATGGACCTTAAACATTCACCACTTCCACCAGTGGCACATTATCACCCCAGTTAAATGTACCATTTAAAAGATGAACGGCAGCAACTTGTCAACTGCACTTTCTACACTTGTAAACTTTACCACCTAAAAGAATAAGGGCACTAATTCACTTCCAAGTAACACAATATTCTGTTTTATAAATATATCTATTCCTTGTTGTTGCTGGGTCACAATCCAAGAATTCCCCACTGAACAGTACTAAGGACACACCATATGAACTGCAGCAGCAGCTCACCACCATACTTTCAAGAACAATCAGGAATGAAGAATAAATGCAGACCTTCCCAAGAATGTCCAAGTAACATGAATGAATTTTCAAAAAAGGTTCAACTTCCATCTGCTGGCAATTTATCAAGATAACAAAAAAAACTGGTAATAGTGACAAAGGATTTACATACATCTTTAGACTAGCATAGAATTACAGTCCTGAAGCATTTAATCTTGTAAATTATCAACACAACCAAGTAGATATCTTCAGGGTGTTGCTGGAATAATATGTTTCTTTTCATGCTAGAATTCTAGGCATTAGAAGCCTAAACTCAAAAGAATACAAATTTACAAATCATTTAAACATTAATAAACTGAAAATCAAAGTAGCTGAAGAACAAATCCAACATATAAACCAAAGAATGCAATTTGCAGAGATAGTAGGAACTGCAGATGCTGGAGAATCTGAGATAACAAGGTGTAGAGCTGGATGAACACAGCAGGCCAAGCAGCATCAGAGGAGCAGGAAGGCTGACGTTTCGGGCCTAGACCCTTCTTCAGAAAATTTTCTTTTTAAAATCAGTAGAGATGCCACTGGATGGTCACAAACAACCATTACTGGCAAAGACACTTTGGTAGTTGGGAAAGCCTTGCAAATAACCTAACATAGTATAAATGATCTGAAAATACTTGTAGATAATTTTGCCTGCCATTATGCTTTGAAAGGTTTAAGTTATCATGATTATAATGGACAAACAGATTGTACATTCTCAATATACACCTTTAATATCAAGGGTCCCCTCTGAAGGACTGTTAAATCTTTGTTCCTCTGAGCCAGTACTCTGAGGAACCGTGTTAGCAGGAAACAACTGCATATCACTATGCCAGATCTGACTGGCTTCTTGAATCAGTAGGTTTGCTTGCATATTGATGCAGGTTAATCGGTTTATCTGGAGAGCAGTTTGGTCTGAGAACCAGATTTGTGCCAACTGCGTGAACCTTAGGAATGTTTTGTGCTTATAAAGAGTGAGACAATGCGCAGGAACCCAACCCATCAGTGGCTTCCATTTTTCTAGGAATGCAGATATTTGAAATCATATTCCAGCAGCCCTTTTACAGAAATAACGTTCTTTCCTTGGAGTTGATGATTGCCTGTAGTTTTGTGAAGCGCCCATTGGTTCTACTAAGATCAAAAAAAAAAGTCCTTTCCTAACTTAGATCAATGTTGTTCCAGATCAGAGTCAGAAACAGACTACCATAGAGAACATTTGTTAGCAGTGTTCAACTATGTTCATGAAAGTGGAGAACTGGGTTGTTCTCTGTAGTACATTTGTGCATTTTAAGAGACTGGCTTTTGACAACCTTTTAGTTATGAACAGTCATCTAATCAATAAAATCTGGACGTTAAGAATTAATTCTGTGTTGCAAAAGTAATGTGTAGATGAAATAGATGCCACGAGTTAATCATTAAAAAGGTCTATGATTTTCAAATCTGAAAGCTGACTTTGGTTGATGGCTGAGGCAGATTTAATCAAAGCTAAGAGGAATTGATGGCTCAAAATAAAAATACGCCCATTAAATGGTGAAAGCCACCTTGCCAGTCTTGAAGCAAGCAATAAAAATTTCAGTAACTTGAAGAAAACCTTTTCTCTGCACATTTAAGCAGCAGAATGAGACCCTGAACTGAAAATAAGAATCAATAGAACACAATAATAAACTTCTCTGTACAGGTGATACATTTGCTGCTGATGAAATTAGAAAAATAAATCAATTGTGGCTACCATGAAGTTTGATTAAAAGGAAGGTATCATCTTCTAGAAGATGACTATTTTTGTGGCATTCTCGCAATTTGCATTTTTAAAAAATGAAGATGATTTTTAGGTGGAAAGCAGTAGAATTTATTATTTAGAATAATTTATCAACAGAACTGAATTAACTTTTTAAAAAAAAAGACAAACAAAATATCCACTGATTGGGGTGAACCACAAAACTGGGAAAATAAGACAAATAAAAAGTTTTCAAAAATGTTGCTTGTTACTATATATTTGTGTTCTATGATGTATCAGGCAATGCCAAAAGCAAATTGCTAACCAAATTTACTAAGTAAAAATGCAATCTCACAATCAATATTATCCTTTTGATACAGGGTTGATTACCTCAATTTCTGAACTCCATGAAGTAGTAACTATTTTCTTGAAAAGTGAAAAAGGGAGGTAAAAAATTAAACCAAAAGGACACAAAATACTCTCCACAGAGTTTTAAAAAAAATATATTTCCAGAGCGAGAACAACTTTAGCAAACACAAGGCAAGAAATTGACGCAAATTGTACCATATTACTGTTTGTTTAAAAATGCTGTAAGTTAACCACTTGGTAGGCAGTATTTTAAAAATCCACTGAAAACAATTATAAAAATTATATACTAATTTATAGAGCAACTAGATTGCTCTAACTACTGATAAATACAAAACAGAAAATGTAGCAGTTTTCTGTACTATTGTCTGAAAAACAAAAGTGTTTGCCTAGTCACATTTTAAAAATAAGTATTTAAACACAATCAAGATGCAAAATGTTTAAACACCAAGGTTGTCTGTTAGACAGACATTGCTACTAATATTGGACACGACAGAACAAATGTGTGCTTTTATATATATAATATACATATATATAAAAAAATGTGTATATATTAACATATATACACATACACACAAAATAAACAAGTATTTTAATGGAATAAATTACATACAGTATGTTGGGATGTGTTCATATTTTTAACATTTAGTGCACAGCTTATAAAAGATCTAACCACCATGGTTGGAGCATTCAGTTTACTCAACATTTCCTTCTTTTATCAATCAAGTACAGTACCTTTATATTTCTGCCTCTTCCTTGTTTTATCAATATTATCAGTCACGGGGGTAATGTACTCTGTTATGTAACATGCATATTATTGGCGCACTGACTTAAGATTTCTGATCTATTACAGACAATAGGACAAAGAGCATGGCATTCATTTCATGGCCAATGTGACAATTTGAGGTTTAGTGCGTCAACATTGTAAGTGGCTGAGAAAAGGCACACAAACACATTGTTGCAGAAATTAAGGAGTGATAAAATGCTCCCATGGCTATGAGAAACCTTATTCCTGCTGACAGTGATGAGTTGAAATCTCTTGCTATTCATGGTATTTACAGACCTACTACTCGCATCATCCGCAAAAGGTATATAAAATGCATTTTGATACAATCCATTATTAATACAAACATTTTCAGATGAATTAATTTTTTATATAATGTAGGCATTCTGTGCATAACTAAAAACACTTGTTTGGTATTAAAAAGGTGCACAACCATTCCAGTAGCTATTTGTACAGTCTGCATAAGAAAATTACATACCTGCAGCCTAAACTAACTTACAAATATTGTGTAAAAGCTGTACATGCATCTTCTTTGCAACCATATTTACACTGGATGAGTTTGCAGATAAATAGTTCTGAGTAGGTACGATGCCCTTGTGGAATGTCTAGAGTTTCTACTGTGAAAAAATAGAACTACATACTATATGTATGACATACTCCAACATATTGAAATCATATTGGCAAGTATTTTACTACATTTTCAAGGTATACTGATTGCAATACACAGTAACCTTTCAGCCTCACGATGTGCAATAACCAACGCATATTATTAGCAATGTGGATATATAAGTGAGAAAGTCTGTGTATGGTATGTGACATGAAAGACCAGATGAATTTCCCAAACAAAAGTAGACTCAAAATAACATGTTAATTACATCAACTGTTTTTTCTTTCAACCTGCATAATTTCAATGGCATTGCTTCATGTATCTTAGCATGGATCCTGAGTTGCAGTGAGAAGAGAACTATAACATTAAAAATCCCTTCATCATTAACATTACTCCACTGTTCTATTACAGAACAATTATGTTCGGGCAAACTGAAATGCTTGGCCACTGTGCATTTCTGGTTACTTCCAGCACAAGAAAGGCAAAACCTAACAAGGCAAATTGTACATTAAAAAGCATCAAAAAAAATGATGCAGCTAGAATTTTTAGTCACTAACATTCTTTTCTGCAGTCAAATAATGAGACAAGGATTCTACACGGATTTTACCTGCATTAAAGCAGATACTTTCAGAGAAAAAAAAATCAGGGGCCCTTACAACAAGGCTCTTTACTGAAGTGCTCCATTCTGAATTGCTACAGACACAAATCCATAATTTTCAAGTCCACCTGATATAGATGCTGGACATCTGATACGTGCTTAACGTCCACCTTCTTCCTTACTAATGGAACACAGTAAACTTGTAATTCACTTTGGTAACAGCAGTTGCTAAGCTGAAGTTTTTGCAACATCCTCCAGTACCACATGGAAACTGAGCACTCTTCATTCTGAAAGGCAGCATCAACATGAAAACATTTGGACACCACAGGGCACAAGGGCTTTGTTCCAGGGTATACACGAATTTTTCCATGGGTGAAAGTGCATATGAGTGGGATTCTGCTGAGTGCTAGAATCCTCTCACAGTATTAAGGCCTTTTAACAAAGAAGTATATCAGTCTCTGGTATCAGCAGAGTGAGGCTTTAATATATTGTTTAATTAGCACTGCATCTTCTCTTCTCAGCACTGTCTCTCCTCCCCTTGTTGTCTCTCTTCCTCTTCATCTGCTTCTTCAATTACCTGGATTTCATCTGAAGTTTGAGGTAAAGATGCGTTATCTGTTTGTTGTATATTTAACTCTGACTTGCATTGCTGTTCATGTTCCTCCTCTTCAATGACTTTCTTCCACAGGTTATGATTTTCTGTGAGGTGATGCAAAATCGGGCAGAAGATTCTCCGCCTTCCTTTTCTTTTCTTCCCCTGCCCTACAAGTAAAAAGGCAAATTAAAAATGCTAAATGTTTTTGCCGTCATTGTTACTAACCAAAATTAGTGTATATATTTTCTACATTCGTTGTTCTTGATCTACTTGCACTCAATAAAATCCATATAACTTATTTGGAACAATTACAAACAGACTACTTTAACAAGTTTGGTAACAGTAACAAGCCACAATGCATATACAGTCATAGAGAATGTACAGCATGGAAACAGACCCTTTGGTCCAACTCATTCGTGCCGAATAGACATCTTAAATTAATCTCGTCCCATTTGCTCGCATATGGCCCATATTCTTCTAAACTCTCCTAATCATGTATCCATCCAGATGCCTTCTAAATGCTGTAATTGTACCATATGATACAACTTCAACTTAGATAACCAAATTTCCGACAAGGTGAAGCCTTATTTGTCACATAGAAAAATGTAGCATTGTTTTAAATAAACCTATTTGGATGTGTTATGAGATACTTCCTTGGATTTCTCATCCTGATGTGGAACTTGACCCTAAACGTATAGGTCCAAAGGTACAAGATTCTTAGGAGGCTTGACAGGGTGGATGTGGAGAGGCTGTTTCCACTTGTGGGAGAGTCTAATCTCTAAAATCTAAAGATCATAATCTCAAACTAAGTGGTTGCCCATTTAAGATACACAAAGAGGAATTTCTGCCCTCAGAGGGTAGTGAATCTGTGGAATTCTTTACTGCACAGAGGTGTTGAAGATAGGTCATTAAGTATACAAGACTGACAGATTTTTAATTAGGAAGGAATCAAAGATTATATGAATAAAATACTGTGACTGAATCCAAATATTTTATGTGAAAGCAACATGCTCTAACCATCTAACTAACAGTACACTACAAATGTAGCGTTTATGTTCACCATTGTTCAGAATTTAAAAGTTAAAATACTTACTTGTTGGAATATCAAGGTCCTCATCATCTATTTCATCTTCAGTTTCTAAATCTTCTGCATCATCATCATCCTCACCACATTCTGGATCAGTATCATCATCATCCACCCACTGACCTGGTAGTAATCCTGCAGCAGCATAGGAATTACACAGGGGACCTACAATATGTGTAATGAAAGATTCCTGCAGCTTAGCTAGCTGAGGCGAAGACCGGTCCATGAAAGGGCTAATGGGTAACCCAAGACTTGCTTCTTCATCTCCCTGTATAGCATAAAATATTATCAGAAATCTTCCAGTATTAAAATATGAATCCCTTTAATCCTATGGCAAAATTTGTGATGAACCTCAAGTTGAAAGTAGCAATTTGTGAAAGATTATTACAAATCTATTTACTTTCTATTAATTGCTTTTGTACCACACAATAAAAATACACAGACTCTAGAAATCAAATGGTCACTATTAGTGCAATACAAAACTTAAATGCAGTAATCCATTTAGAATGTAAAATCATTCATAATGAGGATAGACCCTGTGCTTCATAACATCCAGTATACATTTTCTTGAAGGAAAAAAAAACAACTGAAACCTGCTCATAGAATTCATTGACAATGCCTTCTGTCCACTGCAGATGCAACTCCCTCATCTTTGCAGGGCCATTGATATCGGCCAGTTTTATGCACACCTGGCACACTAACAGGCGATCGTTCTCATTGGTCCAATCAATTCCTGGATTATTGACTTCATTTACCTGCTTCGAGACAGCAAACAATGCCGGTATAACTTTCCACAGCTACAATTTATCACTGCATTCTCAAAATGTAAAATATAACAGGCATTAAATAGACAGCAAAACGTTTTTGGAACACGGTGTTTTTTTAAAATATTTTTGTCTTACAGCATTTGTCACTAATTAGATAAAGGCTATTGAACACTTTCTCAATGTTCTACAAAGTAAACATAAAACCTGGTATGGGTGCACAGCATTTAGAACAGATGGCCCCAGGTTCAATTCCTGTTCAGCGTTGGATTAACTGATCTCTTAATAAAACATCTTAGTAACAGTCTTAGCAATTAGAGGGGAATATGAACCTAGAGTTTCCACTCATGATCACTAACCATTTTATCCAATCACAACGGTGATGTGGATAATGAACAAGGCCAAGATTTGACTCAGCGGCACTAGCTTTTACAGGCAAATAGTGCAACTAACTTCATCAGCTTAAGTTCATACGTAAAGAACAGTCACTTCTCAAGATAAGAGAAAGATGATGACTTGCAACAAAGCACAGCAACAATCATCACCCTTCAAACTGACGGGAAGAAAAGCACAACAGCATTGGCAAAAACAGAAGAGACTATAGACATCAACTTTTCCAACAAGGTTCGAAACTCAATGGTCTGGTTCTTCTAAGAAGCTGTTCTTTTAAGAAGCTCTTCTGCTATAAAGCAGCAATCATTTTTGAAATGCTGTTCCACTCAAACTTTCCACAAAGTCGACGCTGTGCAGCAATTCATGCTGGATGTTTCACACCCTGCCATCCCAATAATGACTATCTGGGTTCTGTCGGAATGCAGTAGAGTCAGAGAAGTCGAAACACTTTACAGCAATAGCTGCAATATGCTAAGCTTAAATGTCCTGCCTGAATATTAGGAAATGGGTGAGTGGATGAATAAGTGAATGGGTCCAGTAGCAAGGTGCATGCGTCAATGGGTAGTTGGGTGCTGGGATATTGTCAGGTCTAGTTATAGGAGTCATGGGATGGTAGTGTGGATAGTTGGATTCTGTTGGGGATTAGTCAGCGTGTTAAACGTGCTAGTTGTGTATTTTTAGGGGGTGGAGATTAAGTTTTTGGCAATTGGGAGAGACAGTGGTTGGGAGTGCAATCACAGGGTTGGTCAATGGTGAGTGGTGGGACGGCTGGGGTGTGTAGGTGGATGCCAGTTCTGTAGTTAACAAGCAGTTAGACTAGATTTTTCATGTCTAACATTTCCTGAGTAACAATTCAGGTACATACATTCAAACCATCTGAAGTCTCCGACTCAGAATCAGAAACAATTGCAGGCAATCCCACAGACTAGAAGAATTGCCCATAAGTTGAACTTCTTATGCAATATTGATGAAGGTTACCAAGGGGTTCCTAACATGCATGTCCAGTCTTATGTTCAGCCTCTGCTGATCGGGCCTTGGAAGATTTGAGGCAATATATGTACTTTGTTTTAATATAATCAATACATTCTCCATTGTTCTGATCTGACTTGTAAATATTAAATAAAATTTGATTGCCTTTACGAAATATGTCAAATAAAAGATGGCATGGCTATTTTGTCAATTAGGACAGCCCTGCCTTACAAACCTTTGAGTTAAACTCAGCAAGGAAGTCAAAATGCTTTTTCAAATCAGTCGCAAGGATTGCTTCAATCACCAAGAAACGAAAACGTTTGAACTCAACATGATCCAGATTTGCCAAGAAGTTGAACTCTGAACTGGACATAAACAAGTTCCATGCAGCGGCAGAATGGTGATTCTCCAAGACAGATCTGTCATTATAAAGGACAGCCTAAAAAAAAGAATTGAAAGAATAAAATTTTAGAATTACATAAAAAAACTCAAAAGTGTAACTACTACAACTATAAGCATTCAAATATCATACCCTAACATCAAGAGTTACCAATTACCTCTTAAGAGTGCACGTCTCCAACCTTCAAAGAGGAAAAAGATTTCAATATAACATTTAGTTTCAGCAGTTCTAACTTGGCCCTATGTGTATATGTGTATGTATTATATATATATATTTTAAAAATGGAGTTACCTTACTCAGAATTGCAAATATGGAACATAGCATTCAGCATAAGTAGGAGATAGGCCAAAATGAAATGCAGGCTTATTATGTGGGAAGATTTTTGTCAAAATTAACCATATTTTCAGGTAAAAACACATCCCTATCAACTGCAGTATTGAGTAGGCGAATGTTAAAAAACATTTTCGCCACATGAAAATGACTGAGTTGCAAGGAATCAACTGCACCACTGCCTAGAAGAACCATTTTTTGACATATAACCATACATATTAGAATCAAATGTGGGCCACTCAGCCCCTCAAGCTTGCTCCACCATTGAATAAGATCATGGCTGATCTGATTATTTAACATTTCCCCCTACTGGTGATAACCTTTCATCCTCTCCTAATCAAGAAACAATCTACCACTGCCTGAAAAAAACATTCAAAGACTTTGCTTCTAACTCAGGAAGGGAGTTTCAAATACCATAACCATCAATGAGAAAAAGTTTGTCCTTAAGCTTGGCAATCGACCCAGTTCTAGATTCTTCACATCCACACTGTCAAGACACTTCAGGATTATCTATGTTTCAATTAAATCATCTTTTACTCCCCTAAACTCCAGCAGATAGAAGTCTAGCCTGTTAAACAGTTTTCCACGAAACAACTTGTCCTTTCCAGATATCAGTCTTGTAAATCTTCTCTAGAATGCTTCATTTGCATTTATTTCCTTTCTTAAATTAGGAAACCAATACTGGGTGCAAGTACAAGTACTCTAGATCTGGTCTCACCAACGCTCTGTGAAACTGAAGTATAACTTCCCTACTTTTGTATTTGATTGCCCTTGCAATAAACAATAGCATTCTTTTCTGAGTTACTTGCTCCACTTGCATACTAGGCTTCTGTATTTCACACACTAGGACACCCATATCCCATATCCCTTGGCATCTCAATGCTTTGCAATCACTTTTTCAAAAATCTTTATTGTTTATGGGAAAATTAACAATTTCACATCTTCTTCATTGTAGTCTATTTGTCATACCTTTGTCCATTCACTTGTATCCCTTAGTTGTTTCATATTCTCTTCACAACTTATTTCCCTATCTTTATGCCATCAACAATTTAAGATTAGGACAGGTTTTTCCTTTCAGGGGTATAAGCTGGTTTTGTATTGTGTTCAATATTTCTTTAATATTTCTTTAAACATCCTCCATAGTTCTCCCACTGTTTTACCCACTAGCAGATTTCCTCAGCATATCATGGACAGTCTCTGTCTCATCTGGTTAAAACTGGCTTTATCTAAACGTAAAACTCAAGTAGCTGAGTTTTAGTTTTCACTTTTGGCTTTCAAATGTTGCACTGAACTCAATCAAGTTATGATCACTGTTTCACCAATGTTCATGCACAATTAGGTTACAATCAAATCCAGCTCATTACTAAATCAAACATTGTTTGTCCCCTTGTTGCATCCAGGACACACTGCTACAGGAAATCATCCTGGACACACTCCAGAAATTTACCACCTTTCTGATAGGTGCTTGTCTGCTTCTCCCATTCGATGTAAATTAAAATCCCCCAAGTGGTACTACTGACTTTGCTACGCACTTGCCTGTTTTATGCATATGTACAATCTCGTACTTCAGAGCAGCTACCAGGGGCCCATATACAATACCCTATTGAAGTTTTAGATCTATTACTGTTCCTCAGTTGTACCCAATCAATCTTAACTGAATGCTTTGCCCTCCCTATCACCGAAGCAATTTTGTTTCAAACCAGTAAGGCTAGTTCCTTGCCAATCCTGTAAACCTTACAACCGGCTATATTCAGTTCCCAATCCCGACCATCCTGCAGCCATTTCTCAGTAACAGCAACTATATCCAATTTCAATTTTTGCCTGCAGCTCATTTACTTTGTTCCTTACACTCCATGCATTTGTACATAGAACTCCTATTTTGGGCCATACATTGTATCCTGTCCCTCAGCAATCATGCTTAATGCACATGTTTAATATTTCCTTCTTTAGGTTTAATCAATACACTTCTGATAGTTCTGTCATTCCCTGCTATACTTGAAGTAGAATTCGTGACCGTTTCTTTCCTCTCTGTCTTGGATTCTGAAACTACATTGACTCCCCCCAAGCCCTCCCCTCCATTTACTAATTTAAAGTCCTTGAGCCATGGCGTTTAGCCTTTCCACTAGGACATTGGTCCCAGGTCCATTCAGGTGGAGTTGAATATAAGTATTGAAAAGATTAATTAGCTTTTAGAAAATACATCTTATTTATTCTGTCATCAAAATCTGAAATTTGCAAAAATTATAATACACTGAAAAACTTCCTGGCCAAGACCTTGCAGTCAACAATAATGTGACAATATTTACGACAGCTACTCAAAGATCCAAAAATTTCTGTTCATCTAATGATTAAGAATTTCATAAGTCCTAAAGTTAGTTAAAATTTACAGTATTTTGATTCTTCTGTTCAACTACATGCAGTGACTATCTTTCAGTTTTTAAGCACTTCACAGACAGACAATGAAATAAAAGGTTTATATACATACTTGGGATTCAGGCAGAAGCTGACATATCATAATAATAGTCAAAAATAATTTGACTATACATAAAGTTATGAACTGTGCATCATAATAGAGAAATCTGACATTCCTCAAGTATAAAGTTAGTTTTTCAGGGCAAAAGTCATTCAGCAATAGTTAACTCAGTTCATCTTACAAGTTCAGTTGTACACCATTCAAAATGGCAAAAAAATTTTGGATGGGTTTTATCTGAGATCTGAGACACTAGAAGAAGAGGTCTACATCAGTTCAAGCGACTTCTTCAGATTTTAAGCTGCAGGAAACTCAACAGCACATCAGCAGAACAGCAGGGCATCACTGACAAAACTTTTTGGATTTGTGCATTCGATATCAGTTGTGCTGATGACAATAACTTCTGTCAGCCTTACAGCTGTAATTATGGCAAGCATTGATAGATTTTGCAGTTATAATGGCAAAACAAGGCCTATGCCTTGATTCAGTATTTTTAAAATCCACTATTCTTAGAATAATTATTGTTAATTGTGGTTAAGTGTTAACGCAGCACCCACAAAGATTAGTCACAAATCTCACGCTGAAAATTACAAATATAGTACTAACTAAATACAGTCTAATGGTTCAGTTCTTCAGCTCTCCATCCAAACTATATAAGGCTGTAATTCGATCTTTGACTGGATATAGTCAAACGATTGACAAATAAAACAAAAAAGAGGAAACATTTTATAAAAGGAAATTACTGCAGATGCTGGAAATCTGAGACAAGGACAGAAAATGCTGGAGAAACTCAGCAGGTCCAGCAGCATCTATGAAGAGAAAAATAGAGTTAATGTTTCTAGTCCGATATGACCCCTCATCAGGAAATAGTCCACGTTACATTTTGAAGGCCCTATAATGATCAAAAATGACGCAAATGAATGTTAACTGACTGCACCAATTTTAAAGCTATTGAAATTTAAATGCAACAAAGTTGTTTTATAGAACAATGTCATTTCAAAACAATAGTACAATTACTTCCCTCATACAAGTCATTGATTTTTTGTAACTAATTGCGGCCCCAGCACTGATCCCAGTGGACTTCATTAATTACAGGTTGCAATCCTGAAAATGCCCCCTTACCCCAACTTTGTCTTCTATTAATTACCCAATCCTCTATATATATTAAAGACTACACCTAATAGCATGGGCTGTTATCTCATTAAGTAGCCTAATGTGTTGTATCTTATCAAATGCTTTACGAAACACAAGTGTATTCACTACTCCTTCTTTATCTATCCTACCTTGTAACTTCTTCAACGAATTCTAATAAATTTGTCAAGCATGAATTCCTTTTCATGACATTATGCTTACTCTGATTATATTGTGTATTTCTAAATGCTCTGCTATTACATGATAGTCTCTAACATATATATAACCGACTCTAAAATTTTCCTAACAACAGATGTTAAGCTAACTGGTCTATAGTTTACCTGTTTATTTATCCGCTTCACTTTTGAAAAAGATACTCACACTAGAAGTTTTCAAATCATCCAGCACTTTTCCAGAATTGAAGGATCCTCAGAAGATTACTACCAGAGCAGCAACCATCTCTATGAAGGTACATTATTTTTAATATTCTGGGATGTGCCCTCTCAGGTACAGAGGACTATTCAACTTTTAGCCCCATTAGTTTCCCCTTGTACTTTCCCTCGAATGATCCTTCTGGTATTTACTTCCTCAATACCTCCATCACATTTTGCCCTTTTCTTTGGCATGCCATTTGTGTATCCTATCATGAAGATTGACGCAAAGTATTCATTCAACTCCTCACTCATTTCCCGGTTCTCCGCTATTATGTCCTGGACTTATCCTCTAAAGGGTCTATGTTCATTTTGGACTCTCTTCCTTTTCAGATATTTAAAGAAGCTTTTGCTGCCCATCTTGTATTACTTATAAATGTATCCCCAATATTTACTTCCTTCCCTTCTGTATTTTTTTGACCATCTTTGGTTGGTTTTTAAAACTCTCTCAATTCTCTGGTTTCTCTGTAACTAATCTTTGCCACACTGTCTGTTTTCTCTTTCATTTTGATACTATCCTTAATTTCACTGGTTGACCAGGTTTTGCTTTCTTCCTCAGTAGATAGATCTTTGTTCTGAACCATGAAATATTTTCTTAAATGTCTGTCATTGTTCCTCAACCATCTTTGCTGCTAAACTCCTTTCCAAGTCAACTTCAGTTCATTCTGCCTTCACTCCTTTGTAATTACCCTTATTTAAATTTTGCACCATTGTTTCTGACCCAAGTTTCTTCCTATCAAACTGCATATTAAATTCTACCAGGGTATGGTCTCTGTTTTCTGGGGGATCTTTTACTCGGAGGTTATTTAATAAGTCTACCTCATTGCACATTACCAGCTCCAAAATATCCTAATCCCTGCTTTGGATGTGCTGTCATCAAAGATTACTGAAGCTGAAATAAATTGACAATTTACACCCCACTGGGAAAAATACCAGTGCAGAGAAACTAGGGCTCATAGAACCTGGCTCCAGCAATGAAGCTTTGCCTTCAGGAAGGGTGAAGAGAGGAGAAATTGGCCAAAAAACAAAACACAACTGGAGGAAAACATCCACTCTTCCTGCTATAAACAACTGAAGCCTTACACGTTAACAAAGCAGACCTCAAACCTATTGCTGGGAAAAACATTCACTACTGAGTTCCACAGTCTACAAGTATAAAATATTTAACTGGGCTAACTGGTAAGCTTGAATTTACGATGTAATTGTTCAGCAGCAAATATTTTGATTGAAGGCGCTGACTAATTTGTTATCAGCAAAGTCATGCACACAGTTAAGAATCAAGCAATTAAGTATTTTTAAAACTATATGCCTGCAACATTTAATCAAATAATTAATTATGTAACCATTTTAGTTAAATCCACTTACTTGGGGTGCATTTGTTGCTACTAAAAATGCATTTGTACGTCCAGGATGATCATAATCATGCATGGCAGCGGCAACGTAAAGTGCCATTAACTCCAGGGCTGGGATGTTTGACGCAAGACAGTTACAGCTATCATCAGAAATGGCACAACTTCTGGAACACATGTAGGCAACCCGGCCTGGTGATATTCCGCTATCAGAATCTAAGAAACATTGAATTTTGAAACAATTATTTTAATGTCAGTTTCTTAGAAAGTTTGCAGTTTTTGTTTTCCTGTCATGACTTGTAAAGGCTAACATCTAGTCCACTTTGTAAACCACAAAATGATCATCTATCAAACTGGCGAACTCCAACATCAAAGAATCGTATAATATGGGCATAAGTGGGGTGGGAAAGAGTGAAAATGACATTACTGAATAAAGCCCGATATATCATTTGCTCCTAAATCTTCTGACACATTTTCACTGTTTCCATCTTCTAAAAATTTCAAACGAACATTCAACAGAAAGCAACAGGGCACTCAGAACAATGGAAGAGGCATGTCCTGCTAATTATTAATGACATCTATTCTTCTAAAAGACATAACACAAATGAAACAGAGGCTATAGATTTCAGGACACCATCTTACAAGTTCTGTTAAATATTCCTACACACAAAATGTTTGCAAACTAATTTTTTGATTATACAACACATCAAACTGACATGCTAACAAAGCAATCTGAATTTTCATAATTAAGAAAATGGGATATGACAAAAATTGTGTGTTTTAAAAATATATTTGCAGTCATGTTGTTTTAAAATGCTTAAGTAACAGTGAAGCATTGTACATAATAGATGAAAACCACATCAGCATAACAAACGAACAGTACAGATTAACTTTGTAACTTTGTCTATTCCAGTGTATAAATGATAATAGCTCTATTGAAACAGTGCAAGCATGTACCTGTATCACTTCCCATTACATGATCATTGTTTATTTGCTGGAATCCTGGAATAGGTCGAGTAGTTAAGTACCAAACAGCATGAAGCACATCAGTGGCATGGACACGATTGTGGTCTATTCAAAATAGTGAAACATGACAAGACAACAGGTGGAGTCAAAAACATATTCTCTCTTTAATTTCCTTTCTCTTTAAAAGGAGCATCTGCCCTATAAAAAGGTTAGGGAAAAAATCTCCTTTATTGATAAACTCAAATGATCATCAGTTATTGCATATCATAATACATCATTGCACTTGCCATCTACCATCTCATATTTTCCCATTAACCCTCAATCCCTGTCCTATCCATCATGCCGCTAATACTTTTTGCTTCACCCAGCACACTCCCAGCCTCACCTACCTCAAAATCTTTCCCTAGTGCTTCGCTTTGGATAAAAACAACTCATGCTGAGAAATTTCAAATTAGAGGTATGGTTATACTTGTAATAGTTTGCCCAAACCTTAGTCTTCTTGTAGAAACTACGGTAGAGGATAATCAGCAGAATATCCAACCATTAAGGACAGACTAAATTCTGCCCTCAGTGTGATTTTCCATATTATCCCTCTTGACCCTACACCTCAGGCATGCACATGTCTCACATATGTCTGTAAAATGCACTCCTGTTCAATTAAATGTAGTCTATCAATAATGATACATGCTTTGTCTGTCCAGATTGTTTGACTAATTTAAGGAGTGCATCTATTGTTCCATTTATTTGGTTGATGGTATCTTGTACACAAGGAGAGATATGACATGCATGGAGGACTGGATAATGCACAGGCTTTTGCCAACATTTGATGGTAGTGACAAGGTTGGTGGAGAACAAGAGCAGAAAATGGTAAGGGTTGTCCAAAGTTACCATATCTGGAAACTACTTTTGGGAGGTTTGGAATGAGATTAATAGAAAAGGTAGATGAAATAGGATACTTATGGAAGGCCAGGAACAGGATGGAAAAAAAGAAATGATATGGGAATGAAATGGCATGAGATGATGGAATTGGTAAGGTGAGGTATAAAATTGAAAATTCACTAGATTTGAATGAAAAAAAATACAGAAAAGCTAATTTAAAACAATAAGTACTGACTTTATGGACAAGGATGATGATAATACTTTGTATCATCCTGGGCTTCTACAGTGGGCATGCCACCACTAAATCTCATTCAAGGAAGCAGTTATAATGTTGCTGCAACGCCTGTGTCCTAAGCAAGGACTTTGTCCAGGAATAAGTTTGATATTTAGATAGACGCCTTCTCCAAGAATGGATGCTGGTTTCAAGGAAATGATATTAAGCTCTTTAGATGTAATCTTGCAAAACAAAAAAGCAGATCCTAAATAGAATTGCATATTCTTCTAACAATGGAAAGACTCTTGACAAAACAGATATTCAAATTCTTAGGCTTGTTTTTACACTTGGACAGCTTTACTTAACTTTCTCTAAAGTAAGAAGTCTTCAGTCTGTTGGGAAGTTTTTGGTGAAAGGTCAAGTAACTTGGAAAATAGCCATAGACCAATAGGTCTCTCTATCAAAAGGAAGACAATTGGTTATATATAGTTGGAGGGGCAACACTCTGCAAGCATGAGGTAAGGTGAGTAGGCAAGCCTTCATGAACTACCAGTGCCAGTACAGAGATTGAACCTGTGCTCTTGATGTCATTCTCCTTCACACACCAGCTATCTAGGCAATAGAAGTAACTCCTCCCAAACTTGAAAGTGTTTTTGTGAAAGAGAAACTAGAAATCCTACATTTAAGAAGCACCACTACAACAGATATTTACTTGACTATAGATGCTTCGCGAGTAATATCTCAATATAAGCGGAAAGAAAAATATATTACATTTTAATATTGCAATAGTGTTCAGCACAAATCTGTAAAAAAACTGCATTTGGCACTACTCACGTGGGGCTTAACAGACAATTACGTTTGCATTTTGAAAAATGCACATTTACTTGCAGCAACTAAGGAACATTCTACAAACACCATGTACTGATAATTCTATGTAAACTGCACTGGAAAATCAAACTTTCCGACAACTCTACGATGATACAATTATAAATTTTCTTCTACTGCTGTAAAATAGAAATATTTTGATTTTAGTTATGTTATTAGGGGATTTCATCGTTCGCTGGAGGAAAATTTTGGAGGTTAGGGAGAGAGCAGAGCTTTCTGTCTAAATAAGGTAACTAATTGTAAATCTCTTGCTCTTGCATCAGAAACAAAAGCAGGAAATGACATGATTTTATTCACGTTTTTAAAGATTGTTTACATTGTAACAAAGTACAACATGTCAATGCTAAGTGGCATACACTGGGCACAGGATAACAGATAATGGATTAAAAATCTGCACATACAATGTCTAAGAAATTGGACTTCCTGTTATTATGGTCTAGTCATGTATCTGTGCCAGTCTTATTACTCAGTTACATTTTCCAGAAGTGTCCAAACTAAGGTACTAATTAAAAACAAGGCTATATCTTTCGTAATTGTGCGATTAGATTTGTATGATTACATTTACCTACTGAATTGTCTTTTATGCATTTGAATTCCCTCATTAATGTTCTTACATGAAGACCTCAGCCTCTCCTAAAAGCTTGGCTTGGACTTCATATTTTTTTCCAAAGGTGTGTTTTTCTGCTAACAGAATGAAAATACTAGTTTCAATATGTACATTGTACCTAACTTTCCAGGATATATCAGCACCACTACATCAATTGTACCAATCAAATATATTCCCTGTAAGTCTCAATACTCCATATTCAGTTGTTTTGCAGACTTGAGAAAGATTGTTTTTCAGGTACTATTTGCACCAAGTGCTTTTACTTAAAGAGAACAGAAGTCATGTCAAAGCAAGAAAAAAAAATCACAGAATGGTTACATATCAGCTACAGCAGCTTTTGTTTTCTGCTTTGTAAGCTTTGGGAAGTTCACAGAACTGTGAATGCCTTTTCTCATCTTCAACTTTAAAATGCATAAATCTAAATCCAAAAATATCACTTAATAATTAAAATTTTATTTCATTCAAATTTATACACATTCTATTTGCTCAAGTTTAACAAAGCGACCAATGTCTTTTCTTGTTCCAATCTCATTTTTATTTGAAGAAAAGAGATAAACCAATGTGAAAGGATGAGAAAAAAGAAGCACATTGAAGCTGAGAAGACCTCTTACCTCTGCGAATGGGTATGTGGTGGTGGAGGGACTGTATGGTCAAGGATGAGGCAAATGAACGCAGACTAATGGGGTAGGAGGAGATAAAAAAGTGGGAAAGAGAAATAGGTAGAGGATGTGATGGGAATGTGAGGAGAGAAATGCTAGGAAAAGGAGAAAGAAAATAAACCAATGGTAGCAAAATGTTCCTTGCAACTATAACCAAAAATTGCATCCTGTCATCATCCATGGTTCCCGCCACAACAATACCAAGCAACTCACTACCTTCTATTTCAAAGGAAACCAAGGACAGATGAGACAGTACGAAATAAAAACCGAAAGAATTGCAGATGTTGTAAATCAGAAACAAACACAAATTGCTGGAAAAGCTCAGTGGGTCTGGCAACATCGGTGAAAAGAAATCAGAGTTAACATTTTGGGTCCGGTGTTCAGAGGAAGGGTCACCAGACCTGAAACGTTAACTCTGATTTCTCTGCACAGATGCTGCCAGACCTGCTGAGCTTTTCCAGCAATTTCTAAGTTTGTTATCGATGAAGCAGTGGCTGAAGACAAAAACATCTGAAAGCGTCTCAAAACTTTTTGTCTGCAGAGGAATCAAGTACATGCTGTAATGTGAAGTGGCAAAGTCACCGCAGCATGAAAAACTGGAAATTATAGCACATTGTATGATCTTCAGTGAAAGACAAATGCTTCTAGACTACTTCAAATGGGTGAAATTATTACTATGAAGTGGGTAGAAACATGAGTATTGCTTTCTATTCCCATCAAGAGTGCAGATTAATGCATTCGTATAAAATCACCAAAGTGCACTGAGCATTTCAATGTGTTAGTTTTTCATACAGTTAACACGTGTTAAAGTATGAAACAAATTCTAACAGCAGACAGATCTTTAACATTAGACAAAGAACTGCTTACGCCAAAGATTCGTCAAGTTAACTCAAAATGTTAACTCTTTTTTTCCCACGGATGCTGGCAGACCTACTGAGTGTCTCCTGCAATTTCTGTTTTTGTTACAGACATGTTCTTCTTGGCTTACATACATCATTGGCAGGAAAGCCTCAACAACAGGCCAAAGTGTTACTACCCATAAACTAAGGGTGCCATCTAAAATGTTTTGTTCATAATCTATAAAAGGCAAAGTTAGTCAGTCTCAGTCATTCAAATCAAGTTAACATGAGGGGGTACAGGATATTTTGATTTCTTAGTGTTCTCTGTCAAATTTGGATTCTAAACACAGAAGTATGATGTCAAGGTGTCGATGTTGCACTGGGGTGGACAAGGTCAGAAGTCACACGTCACCAGGTTATAGTCCAGGTTTATTTGAAATTGCCTGACAAAGGGGCAGTGCTCCAAAAGCTTGAGATTTCAAATAAACCTGTTGGACCTATAATCTGGTGTCAGGTGACTTCTGACCTTATAACAAAGTAAGATCAGATTCATCTAAAATTTCAACAATTTGACACAATGAAACAGAAATTGGACAGTCATAAGTAGCTTCTATAAGTGTGTAATAGATCGAATGAATCTCAGCATTTTGATCATTTTCATCTTATCCTCCCCCGCCGCAACCCCAAAACAGTGCAAGTATGCTGCAGCCAAAACTAATATCGTCAAGTTTCAGTTTCATGCAAAACTGTGGGAATTAGGGTAGCCATATTCCCCAAGCGTACCACCTCTCACTTACAAATTTTAAGTATCACTAGGCCTGTCATAGTCCGCTGTTCAAAAAAGAAGGATCCTAATTTGTTGCAACGATAATCAGCTTGTCATGTCCGAACATGGAAGAGTCCTGAGCATCGACAGCAACTGCAACGCAGGAGAAACTCCAAATATGGCCTGCACAGACTCCCAAACCAGCCTGAACCCGATGCAGAATCTCCACCCTGTACAAACTCCCATCTCCACCCTGCTCTGGGTTTTGTTCTGCCTCCTGCCTCTTTTTTTCTCATATTCAGCTTCTCATCTTTAACTTAATGAATAGGTCTAACTGGTCATTGAGCATCTGATCAATGTGATGGAAAATGATGACACAGCAAAGGCTGCTGCATATCGAGAGCAGGAATAACTGCTCATCAACAACCGACCAGATGTTTCCTTCCTGCCATCCATACTACTCCTCCAATCTTAAGTGCTGGATCAGCAAGAAGGATAGAGGGGACCATGTGATTAAAGGAACAGGAGCAATCAGTGCAGGAGAAAGAGAATCTGTGATTGCAGAAGCAGCTCATGTTCTCAGGTCTTCCAACCTCTGCTCTGCAGGCAATTTATACTCTCAGCAATTGTCAATTTAGTTGATAGTTTAAGATTTTTTTAAAATAAAATTGGACCCAACTGTTGCTGTGAGTAGGAACTGTGCTTCCCACCTTCAGGCAGCTTTGTGATTTTCCAGCAGGCTTTAAAAAGAATTGTGACCTCCAAGTCTTCTGCATTGTCAGCAACACTTTTTTTTAAAGCCAGTCTTTCAGAAGGTATGATCGGCAGATGCCAATGGCAGATTTCCAAAACCTCAATGCTGGAAATCTGTCATTTGGTGAAAATTTCTTATCCCTGCAAGAAAAGGGGACACAGTCAAAAAAACTGATCAATAATGCTAGGGATAAGAAATTGGAGATGCAAAAACAGAACAGCAGATTGAGAAAATGGCACAAAGATACTAAAAGCAAGGACAAGACAAATACTTCTCTTTAATTTGGCATTTGCAATGCTACATATGATAATTTATCCTTAATAAAGATATGCAGATGTTAGATAAACAGAGGTACGATTAATACTTACAAGGAATGTCACGATAACCATTTTCCAGTGCACGAAAGTAGCTTATGAATTCCCGAATGGGGATTTTAAAGAGGTCAAATAAGCCAGTATCAAGAAACAGGGAGTAAATGACCTAAAACACCAAAACGGTTTTGTTGGTTACTATAGTTTACAAAGGGAAAATGATCGGTAAACAACAAATTCTCATCTTTTGACTATTAGTGTGTACAGTTATTGTGTTTGGTATCATTTTACAACAGATTATCCACAACTGGCTTATGCACGGTCATATTCTTATTCATGGATCATATATTTTAGCATATACTTCAAAATTCATGAATTAGTTTCCTATGAGCAGTATCAGAAGTCAGTAAAAATTGAGTATACAGACCAGTTAACTCTTTTTTTGTAATCAGGTTTCCGAATCAATCTGAAATCTAATCAGGTGTATATCTATAATTTCTTAGTATTCACATCAGAGAGATTTTTAAATCTTTTAAGGAATTTTAGAGAAAAATACAAGGTTATCCAAATTCTAATAACTGCCTCTTTTTGAAAAGCCAAGAATAACTATATAATCAAAGCTTTCCTCTTTGTGTAAAAACCCTTTCATTTCCCCTCATTCTTTCAAGTCACATACACCTACACATAGGACATCAGCTCTGTGGGTTTCATCATGCTGCTCTTCAGACAGCGAAGAAGATACACTGCAGTACATAATAGGAATCAACTCCTCTATCTTTCAACTCAGATAGTACACCAGTCTCCACTTTACTGCACTGACATTGGGATTGTTGCATGGAATCTACATTTTTGCAGTGTAAAAATGATAATTATCATTTTTTATTCTTGTTTGATAAAACACTCAACATCAGCTAGTAACTTAATCCAAGTATATTCCTTTTTTGAAGGCCTTCAGTCATCATAATTTTACCTTCAGTTATTATTTTTACTGAAAATCTCCCTTCTATGATTGCTGTCAATGGTGACTAGTCAGTCAACATTGTGGACATTTCCAAATCACAGTGCTATTGCTGCAGAAAAGTAGACTTCTGAAAGGCTTGAGGAGAACTAGGTTCATTCATACTTCTTTTGTTCACACTGCAATGGACGTGTTGCAATTGGACCAGTACTCCACTTGGTGCCTCAGCTGAGAAGAATCAGCACCTTCAATATCATAAATTGGATACTGCTTAACAGTCTATTGCATGAGCTGCTGATTCACCCTCAAATGTCAATATTTCATGAAAGAAAATTCTGCTGACTCATTGATGCTACTTTTTACTTTTGATTTGTTTTTGAAAGATGTGGTGCTGTTCCAATATGCCATAAATCTTGCTTAAAAAATAAAAAATTAAAACAGAAATTGGAAGTTTAGAATCCAAATGCACTGAAAATTATAACATTTTGGTGCTTGGTCTGTTACTGCTTTGATTTTTGAAATGGATCTTGAAACATATCCCTTGTTTAGAAATTGTACAAACTTCTGCTTTGTCTTTGCAAATCATGGATCTAAAAATTAATAATGCAAAACAAAAGTCATAAAATATTTCTAAATGTTCAAAATCTGAACCATAATACTTGATGTTCAACTTTTCTAAAACAGAATTTTGGCAGGTAAATTTAAATTAATTCTTTAACCATAATTTAAAATTGTTGTGCATTAAGTTATTTGTGTATAAGTTAACTTACACTTAATCATAGCAAAATAAACCATTAGTTAGAAAACTAACCTGACTAAGAATTCTTCCAGATTGTCCACCTGTCATCTCTACAAGTTCAAAAATGGGAAAGTTCCAATTATTTAGCTTTTCCATGCATAAGTCAGTGCCTTGCCCTTCTATCAGCTCAACTGAAAGTTCTGGCAGCTGCTATTGGTTTAAAAAGACAAGATGTCAAAGTTTGTGTCACGGTATCACATTTTGCACAGCATTTTTTTTTCTTTCAAATGCTATCAACTCTTCCAAAAAAGATCAGGTATACTATCTGTCCCCTCACCAGCACCTACCCATGCAAGTATAGGAATCTATCCTTTCACTTCTTCTCTTTCCAAAGTTTCAAGCCGCAAACACTCCTTCTAGGCGAAACAGCAATTTATTCGTATTTCATTCAACTGAGCATACTGCCAAAAGTAGATTAGGTGTCTGCTTTGCTGATTACCTCTGTTCAATTCTGATTTCTTGACCACAAACAGGAGGACCTATCAAACCCATCCAATTACCATCCATCAGTCTACTCTCTATTAATAACAAGGTGATGTTGTCTATGCTATCAACCAGTATTTATGCCAGAACAATGTGCTTAATGACACTCAATTTGGATATTGCGAGGCCAAGGCAGCTCCTGACCCCATTACAGCCTTCGTCCAAACATTTACAAAATAGCTGAACTCTAGAAGTGAGCGAAGGACAAAGAGTGACAGCCCTTAATATTAGAGCAGCATTTGATCTGTGATATTGAGGAGTCCAAAGAAAACTGGAGTCAAAGTAAATCGAGGAAAAACTCTCCACTGTTTCAATTCGTACCAAATACAAAAGAAAATGGCTGTGGTTTTTGGAGGCCAATCAATTTAGCCATAGGACATCATTGCAAAAGGTCCTCAGGGCCCTGCATTATAGGTCCTCTATTTTTATCTGCTCTTTAAAAGGACCTTCCCTCCATCATAAGGCCAGAGGTGGGGATGCTTGCTGATGATTGCACGATGTACAACATCATTTCTAACTCCTCAAATATTGAAGCAGGCTTTATCCAAAGGGAACAAAACCTGGCATATAACGTTCATGACACACACACAATAACCTGGGCAATGACCATTTCCAAAAAAAATCCAACCATTGCCCCTCGATGTTCAATGGCATTACCATCACTGAATATTCGTATGGTAGAATATTCAACAGGGTCAAGAAAAATTCTTGATATTAACTGCAATATTTAACATGACATGAAATGTCAAAAACAATCCACTCACGATTTGCTACCAATAATTTCTAAGCAATTTCCACAAGAATTCAGATACAAATTCTATGGTTATGTTACATAAAGTGCTCATATAGGTATGACTGATCAAATCTATTGCACGACTGCTGCATCAGTAAACAAAAACAAAGAACCAAAACTGAAAAATTGGTCTCACCCCAGACTGATTATTTTGCGCTTGCGTCTGCTGGTCCTCATTACTTATAAATTTCATGGATCCTTCATTTTCTAATTGTTCCTTTCTGTCAGCTCCAGATGTGTGTTCAACTTTAATTCCATCGTCAGGAGCTGTATCTTCGTCTTTAAAAAACAGAAATTCTTTACATGGTATACCTTCCACCATTCCATCTCATTTGTGGAAGTGCTATTTTGTACACCAGTACTAACTAAGAACTTCTTACATGAGGATATAAATTTCACTTAAATTCTTTTAAACTTTGATCTTAAACCTAAAAGTGATGAATACGTGGAGAGGAAAAAAACTGCCTTGACAGGAAATAATAAGCTAATTATTACAATGCAAATCCAACTTATGAAACAATATTTAAAACTATGCAGTTTATTTTTATGCAATGTTTTAATATATTGTCTGATCATATGCCTGTAATGCTAATTTTTCAGAACAAAAGTTGATTGTATTGTTCATTGCAATAAACGCATTATTAAAAGCAAGTGACTGGGTTACTCAAATTGAAAAATTCTACCAGATTGGAGCAAAGCCACAAATCTAGAATTTCATTAGTGTTGTATAAATGCTTTCATAAGATGAGAAAATTAACAATGTCCCCCACTCTGTCCAACATTCTGCCAGCTAATCAAGAACAAGCAGATCCCAACATTTGTGTCATGAGAGAAAATCATATTGTTGCTAAAGAAGGAAAACTCAATTAGCACATACCTTGTGTTTTGGTACAGGGCGATTCTGCAACTGACTGCAAACTGCTTTCTCCTAAATCAATGTTTTGCACTGATCTAAGCATATGTCGTCCACAACTGGAACAAATTCATTTTAACAGATAGAAATAAGAAGCAATTCTAAAGCAAATTTCTTTACCAACAATCCAGAATGATCAAGTTTCGTTCTATACATCATTGTCCTGCATTAAGTTCCAAGATTTACAAAACTGGTTGAACTTTGTTTGCAAATACATGATTTTCTATTAACAATTGTTAAAAAAAGAGATCAAATACAAAGCTTTTCATCTTGCACTCATTAGGACAAGGTTATAAGAAACACACTGGAAAAATAGAAGGCCGATTTATACAGCATAAGAGGGTGCTGATATGTTAAAACATCATTGACTATTCATGCTGCACACTGAAATACCAATGTCAAACTTAATTCTCAGACCTGAAAGGGAGACTGACTGGTCAAGGTGTTGCCATGGGAATGCAACAGACACTGGCAGCCTCCATGATGCCTTTGGTTTTATCAAAATAAAAGCACAAAACGTGTACGAATTCCTTTGCCAACATAAAACTGTGTCCTATGTATCAATATATGTAGCTTCTAACACACGCAAATGTGTCACATAGCAAGTCTGACTGATTATCTTCATTTTGTTTCCAGCATAACTCTTAACACGATTGGATTATTTAAGAATTAACTTTCAACAGAAAAATCACATTCGATTTGTGCGTATTTTTCCAAGGCTTACAAGCACGACCTGGTTGAGCTAGATCAACACGCTGCCTACAGCATGGTCGATGGGGTGTATTGTTTGATATAGTCTGCTAGCCTACATGACTATAATCACACCAGCACTGAAATTCATATATCACTCATTTGTGCAGTAGGAAAAACATGTTTCTGGCTTGATGGTATCATTCCATCAATGGAGACAACCAATCAGGCATGAGAGAGCTAGCTTTGCCTATTGTTGAAATTAGTGAGACACTTTCCTTTCAGAGGGTAATCTGGGAACTGCTCAGGGCCAAAAGTAGTAGACAGACAGACAGAGGCCCTTTCATGAGTTTTTGCAATATACAAGGAGTGACAATTTGATTGGGTAGCCATTGCCTTGCAAGACTGTTTTAAAATGCCCTATTGCAACATTACATTTTCATGGTGAGCGAATGGTTAGGGCTCAATAACACAGACCTCGTAGCACATAAAACTGCAGGACACTCAATACGTATATTGATCAGTGGCATAGGCTTTTGGTAGATAATACTAAAGAAGCTACTGGCAGATTTCTCAACGCGCATAGAGTGAAGGGAGCTTGCTTGATTGCTCCATTTCAATGATGAATTTGAGGGCAGCATATAGTTTATTAAGTTCCTATGTAGGCATTGTACAATCTTTATGAAAAAGTGAAGGAATATCTTTCACAATGTACCTGGAAAATTCATCTTGCACTGGTTGCAACAGCTTACACACCACGTAGCCAATTCTTTTTTGCATACCCAGTCACAGTTAAAATAGATTATAAAGGGACCTCACTTGAAGTCCATTATGGGTAGACACACATAGCCGGTGGTTACCCTACTATAGAAAGGGTGTTAGTAAACTGGAGAGGGTGCAAAAAAGATTTACAAGGTGTTAGCGAGACTGGAAGATTTGAGGTATGAGGAGAAGCAGGATAGGCTTGGACTTATTTTCACTGGAGCATAGGCGGCTGAGCACTGACCTTATAGAGGTTTATAAAATCATGAGGGGCATTGATAAGGTGAATAGTCAAGGTCTTTTTCCCAGGGTAAGGGAGTTCTAAACTAGAGGACACAATTTTAAAGTGAGAGGGGAAGAGTTAAAAAGGGACTGGAGATGGAACCTTTTCGCGCAGAGGGGAATACATATGCTGATTGAATGCCAGAGGAAGTGGTACAGACAGATTCAAATTTTCAATGAAAAATAAAAAAGGGGTCACGATGACTTCGATAATCTGCTGCATTCCACGGCAACATTCTGACCAAGATGCTTTAAGAGAAAACAAGACTTGCTTTAAAGGTCTGTAAGAAAATCACATCAGTGACTGGAGTCAGAGCTTAGAACACCAAAAATTACTGTTGAATGCTTTAGTTTAAATTATAATTGTGCAAGTAACATGAGTAACTGGAAATATCAAATTCTAAAACTGAATAATAAAAGTTCAAACTTATTTTGCAATAATAATCATCAAGTTTAATACTGGAATGGAGTGTTTATCATAGTTGATAAGTTAAAAATGGAACATTTACAATGATCCTTCATGAAATAAAACATTGAAAAATTTAGAATCCCCTTCCATGTGATTTGCAATTTAGAAGTAAAATCATGAATGTCTTCTTTGTGTTGCACTGTAAATATCTGTTTCATATTTTGATTAGGGATGTGTATGTGTATATAATTTTGAAGAAAGACTAGGTCCTTTAAAGCAAAAATATAACACTTCAAAGATTTGCTAACTCTATTCATTTTAACTGTGACTAGAGGTTTGCAGCCAGCTTCGTTGGCGACAAATAACAACCACAGTACAGTTTGTTATAAACCTGCTTTTGGAAGATAAAAGAATCCCAGTTTTTCTAAAGGGTTCAAATCCCTGACACATCTTTCAGTCCACACATTCAGTAATGCATCAATACCTGCTGCAGAGAGCACTACTGGTCATTCTAAAAGATTGCTGAAAATCTGGAGAACTGAGTGTGTATCCAATTGGTTTATGGAGGGTCACTCTGGGTTTGGTCAGTATGTCAGCCGTATCAGGAAATTCCACCGGTGAGCGGTTAAAACCAGTTATTGACCCAGGACCATGAATTGGGGAATTCACAGGACTGAGGCTAGGAGAAATACCTGAAACGAAAGAAGAATTGCAACAAGTTAATCAAGAGATACCATAGATATTTCTTTGAAACTGTTTGGTCACGAGAATAAAGCTATGCGCATTTTATCCCAAATTACCTTTTATATTTCATTTTTTTTTGACTTGTCAACAGCAGTTGAAAGAACAACCTATTTCTAGCAATCTACAAAGCCTTTCTGAGCTACCAATTAGAAGGGATGATTAAACAGCAAGACAATCTGTCCTTCAACAATGTTCCCCTCGTTTCCCTGCAGCACTGCATGGCCACCAGTTTTCATTTAGAACTGAAATTAACATCAGTAGCATGGGAGATTGCAGAAGTAAATCCACACTTCAACACTGTGTGGCAGCATGTACCACAGCTCAGATTAACAATTACTTCCCCAGCAGCAAACACAGATGGTGTTTAGTGCTACAAGAGCAAGGTGTCATTAATGATGATGAATTTCAATTGTCTATTCATACTTTATAAAATGTCAGCCATACACAGGTGCCTTGGGTTTTACCAGTGAGCAATTCTATTTTTCAAGTTCTAATTGTTTTGGATCATGTATAAGTCAGAATAAATCCAAACATTTCTAATCATTACACAATATTACTCAGAATTGACAGTCATTAGTAATGAAGAAAAATACTTGCAAAGTAACATTTAGACAATTGGAAACATTCAGTAACATATAGCAAAAAAAAAAACCTATGTACAGATATAAAAACATTAGTTCAACACACAACTGAAATTTGTAGCCTTGTCTTTAATAGTTATATGTCTAATTTTTGTACTAGTTTCTTAAACAGGGGAAATACTAGAAAGAATACTGATAATACAGATAACTTGAGAGAGATCCAAAACTAAACTGAGCTTATAACAACAGCAAATAAATTGAGGTGCACTGCAGTCTGGGGTGCAGAGAGTGTGGGGGAGCAGGAAAAGGGAAAATGTTGAAAAAGCCTCAGCAAAAAAGTTGGCAGATGGTGGAACAGGAGGTAAAATGTGAATTTATTCACTTTGGCAGGAAGTTTAAGAGTATTACTTAAATGGAGAATGACTGCAGAATTATGAGGTGCAAAGAGATTTACATTTTCCGGTGCCTGAGTCACTAAATGTTCATACGCAGCATGTAATCAAGAAGGCTAACAAGATGCTTTTCTTAATTACAAGAGGAATTGAACATAAATGTGAGGATATTATGCTGTCCACCTGCTATGGATTGACCCACAATGCCATTAGGGAGGGAATTCCAGGATTTTGACCCATTGACAGCAAAGCCATATATTTCAAAGTATAGATGGCGAGTAACTTGGAGGGGAACTTGAAGGTGGTGGTGTTCACACATATCTGCTACATTTGCCCTTCGAGATTGAAGTGGTCGTGGGTATGGAGAGGTTGAGGAGATTGGGCTTGAATGCATTGGAATATTAAAGAATAGGGTGACCTTATTGAAACGTGCAAGATTCTTAGAGAACTTGGTAGATTGACAAGGCAAAACCTTTCTGTGACAGTCTAGGACCAGAAGGTATGATGTCACATTAAGGGATTGCCTTAATATACAGATGAGGAGGAATTTCTTCTGAGGATATTAGATTTTTGGAGTTCTTTACCATAGAATGCTGGAGAGGCTGGGTTATTAAGTGTATTCAAGGCTGAGACAGAAAGATTTTTAACCAATAAGGGAATCCAAAGTGAACTTGAGGATCAGCCATGTTCTCATTGAATGGCAGAGCAGATTCAATGAACTGAATGGCCAGCTTCTGATCCTTCAAATTATGAGGGGCAACTTGATTGAAGTACCTAAGATCCAGAATATCTTGACAAGGTCGAAGTGCTAAGTATGTTTCCTCCTGAGGCTTAGTCGAGAACGAGGGGACATTGTTTTAAAATTAGGATCTTACTTGCGAGACAGAGATGATGAGAATGTTTTTCTCTAAAATAACTATGTAACTTTGAACACTTTGCCTCAGAAGGCGGTAGGGCATTATCAATGAATATTTTAAAAGGCAGAGATGAGATTTTTTTGTTAGGCAGGAGGATCAAGGATTATTGCAGGTAGATAGGAATGCAGAATCGGAGACACAAACAGATCAGCTATGATCTAATTGAAACTCAAGGGCTGAATAGTCTACTTCTATTTCTATTTTTTATGTTTTTAAACACAATAAGGACTTCAATATTCATATAAACTTGAAAAAAGAAATGGGCAGAAGTAGTTTGCATAGGTAAGTGGGAAAGTTTACTGAGATAAATTGGAATATTAAATTGAATGGTATGATGGTAGACGAGTAATGGTATACATTTCAGAAATGTTTTGTAATTCTCAACAAATATACATGCTATTGAAATATAAGCACTTCATCAATTCAGAGATTCATCTCTAGATCACTATATGGGTTAAGAGACAAAGGAATAAAACATATGTTCAGACTGCCATTTGTTGCAAGGGAAGTATTCTGAGTGGTTCTTCGTTAAAGCACAAGACAAAATTCACAGATTTCCAACACAAGTTCTTCTAGAATAACCTCACAAAGGTGAAGTACAAAGTTCCGTTTTCACACTGAGAATAACTTCCATTGTGTTGGATGGCACTATCACAGTGCTAATTGGGACAGACGTCCAGCAGTACAAGACTGGGCATCCATGAGGCACTGTGGAACATCAACAGCAGCAGAATTATACACCAACTCAATCTATACCCTCATGGCCCAGCATTTGCCTCACTCAACCATTATGATCAAGCCAGGAGATCAACCGTGGTTCAGTGGAGAATGGAGGAGGGCATGCCAGGAGCAGCACAAGGCACCCCTAAAACTGAGGTGTCCACCTGGTGATGCACCAAACATGACTTTTGCATGACAGACAGAGTAAGCAACAAACAACCAACGGAGTTAAGTGATCCTACAACCAATGGATCAGCGCTAAACTCTGCTGTCCTGCCACATTCAATTGTGAATGGGAGGAGGGAGGGAGGGAGGGAGGACCAAAAATATCCCCATCCTCAATGACAGAACAGACCAACACATCAGCGCAAAAGACATTCACAGCAATCATTAACCAGGAGTGCAGAGTGTATGATCAATCTTGGCCTCTATCAGTGGTCCCCAGCATCGCAGATACCAGTCTTCAGCCAATTTAATTCACTTCACGGGATATCATGAAAGGATTACCGGCACTGGATACTGCAAAGGCTATGCGCCCTGACAACATTCCGGCAGTAGTACTGAAGACTTGTGCTCCAAAAACTGCTGCTCCTCTAGCCAAGCTGATACAGTAGTCATCTACCCAATAATGTGGGAAATTGTCTAGGTATGCCCTGTACACAAAAAGCAGCATAATTCCAACCCGGCCAATTACACTCCCATCCATCTACTCTCTATTATCAGTAAAGTGATGGAAGGTGTTATCAACAGCATCTGTACGCTGATGCTTAGTTTGGGGTCCGCCAAGGACACTCAACTTCTGTCTTCATTTCAGCCTTAATGTAAACATGGGCAAATGCTCTCTATTCCAAAAGTGAGGTGAGAGTGGCAGCCCTTGACATCAAGGCTGCATTCAACCTAAGAGTGGCATCAAGGAGGTCAAGCAAAACTGGAATCAATGGGAATCGGGGGCAAATTCTCCACTGGTTGCAGTCATATAAGAACATAAGAACTAGGAGCAGGAGTAGGCCATCTGGCCCCCCGAGCCTGCTCCGCCATTTAATAAGATCCACTTATCCGCCCACTCACCATAACCCTTAATTCCTTTACTGTTCAAAAATTTATCTAGCCTTGCCTTAAAAACATTCAGTGAGGTAGCTTCAACCACTTCACTGGGCAGGGAATTCCACAGATTCACAACCTTTTGGGTGAAGAAGTTCCTCCTGACCTCAGTCCTACATCTGCTTCCCTTTATTTTGAGGCGATGTCCTCTAGTCCTAGTTTCACCTGCTAGCGGAAACAACCTCCCTGCCTCCACTTTATCTATTCCCTTCATAATCTTATATGTTTCGATAAGATCTCCCCTCATTCTTCTGAATTCCAATGAGTATAAGCCCAGTCTACTCAGTCTCTCCTCATAATCCAACCCTCTCAACGCTGGAATCAACCGAGTGAATCTCCTCTGCACCCCCTCCAGTGCTAGTATATCTCTTCTCAAGTAAGGAGACCAAAACTGCACACAGTACTCCAGGTGTGGCCTCACCAGGACCCTATACAGCTGCAGCATAGCCTCCCTGTTTTTAAACTCCATCCCTCGAGCAATGGCAGACAAAATTGCATTTGCCTTTTTAATCACCTGCTGTACCTGCAATCCCACCTTCAGCAATTCATGCACAAGGACACCCAAGTCCCTTTGCAAAGCAGCGTGCTGCAACTTTTTACCATTTAAAACATAGTCCATTTTGCTGTTATTCTGACCAAAATGGTCAACATTGTACTTCATCTGCCAGACCTTTGCCCACTCACTTAGACTATCTATATCCCTCTGCAGACTTTCAGTGTCTTCTGCACACTTTGCTCTACCACTCATCTTAGTGACATCTGCAAATTTTGACACACCACACTTAGTCCCCAACTCCAAATCATCTATGTAAATTGTAAACAATTGAGGTCCCAACACTGATCCCTGAGGCACACCACTAGCCACTGACGGCCAACCAGAAAAACACCCATTTATCCCTACTCTTTGCTTTCTGTTGGTCAACCAATCCTCTATCCATGCCAATACATTAGCTGTAATACCGTGCAACTTTATCTTATGTAGCAGCCTTTGGTGTGGCACCTTGTCAAATGCCTTCTGGAAATCCAGATACACCACATCCACAGGTACTGGCACAAAGGAAAATGGCTGTGGTTGTGGAAGGTCAGTCATTTCAACTCCAGGATATCTCTGCAAGAGTTCCTCAGACTATTGTCTTGAGCCCAACGATCTTCAGCTACTTCATCAATGACCTTCCCTCCATCATAAGGTCAGATGTAGGCATGTTCACTGATGATTGCACAATATTCAGCACCATTTGCGGCACCTCAGATACTGAAGCAGTCCATGTTCAAATGCAGCAAGAACTAGACCCTACCAGGCTTGGGCTGGCAAGTGGCAAATAACATTTGTGCCAAACAAATGTCAGGCTGTGACCAATAAAGGGGCAAACTAATCACCAGCCCATGACATTCAAAGGCATTAACATCACTGAACAGCCCCCCACTATCAACAACTTGGGGATTACCATTGACCAGAAACTGAACTGGACGTGCCATACAAATACAGTGGCTACGAGAACAGGTCAGAGGCTAGGAATACTGCAGAGAGTAACTCACCTCCTGATTATTCAAAGCCTGCCCACCATCTACACGGCACAAGTTATTTGTTTACATTATACTGTCACCTGTACCTAATACTTCCCACTTGTAGCAGCTGGACCCATCCAGGCAACTGTCAAGAAGCTTGACACCATCCAGGACAAAGCAGCCTGCTTTCTTGATGCCTGATCCACAAGCATAAATACCCTATACCACCAACTCTCAGTGGCAGCAATGTGTATTATGTACAAGATGCACTGCAGAAATTTACCAAAGATCCTCAAACTGTGTCTTCCAAACCCACAAACACTTCCATCCAGAAGTGGAAGGGCAGCAGATACATGGGAACACCATCATCTGCAAGTTCCCTTCCAAGCCACTCACCATCCTGACTTGGAAATATATTGCAGTTCTTTCACTTTGCTGGCATAAAATCCTAGAATTTCCTCCCAAAGGAAGGTCAACCTACAGCACATGGACTACAGTGGTTCAAGAAGGCAGCTCAGCACCACCTCCTCAAGGGTAGCTAAGGATGAGCAATAAATGTTGGTCAGCCAGCAACACCCACGTTCCACGGTGAACAAAAAACAACAAATGGCAAGTATCACTCTGTGCATTTTTAGCAGCGTTCTAAAGTTAAGACTGGATCAGAAAACAAAGAGCATTGCATGGTCCTGTCATCAATGCACTACCTGGAGCAACGTTATGATCCCTGCTGATGGTAATGCTGCACAAGTTAGATCTCAGAATGAAACCTGGTTTGAATGATCATATGTTTAATTTTTGCTGCTGACTAATGTGGTGGTTATTCATTGAAACATATTCAAACAAGATTGCAGATGTCCTTTAAAAACAGTGCACAAGTTTTTCTAAAGCAGAAAAAAATAGCTTAGAAGAGGGTTAGAAAAATCTTAATACAAAGTTTCAACCCGTTTTCAACCAACATATATTGCAGAGTTTCAGTCCCAAAGAAATATCATTCCAATCTCATCTTCTTTAAATCTTTACGTAACTGGCATTCCCGAGTTTCTTTGTCTTGAACTATATAGAGTCAATTTCTCAACTTTCTCAGTTCCAACAACTTGAAGATTTCTAAACAAACTCTCCCAGCTTGGAAAAGCAATAGACTGGAAGCCACTTCTGCTAAGATTACAAATTTTCCTGAACTGACGTGACTTCCCTTTAGAAAAATTATCTAATTTCTCTATGAAATCTGCATTCTTCTGAACTAAACCCTTTAAAGTGAACTGCTCCGAGCTAACTGCCTTAATGTAGTTCCTCTGTCTGCCATAGAAGAACAGTATAAAAACATTTTCAGCATTTATAGAAGTGATTTGGATGTCAATATAGGACCAAAATAGGTGGTGTAGTGCACAGGGAGGGAGATTATCTCAAGGTAAACAGGACCTTGACCACATGGGCCGATGGGCTGAGGACTGGCAGATGGAGTTTAATTTGGGTAAATGTGAGGTGTTGCATTTTGTAAGAGAAACCAGGGCAGGACTTATGCATTTAATGGTAAGGCCCAGGGAGTGTTGACAAACAAAGAGACCTAAGTGTGTAAGTGCACAGTTCATTGAAAGTGAAGTCGCAGGTAGGCAGAGTACTGATGGTGGCATTTTTGCATGCTTGTCTTCATTGGTCAGAACATTGAGTATAACGGTTGGGATATCATGTTGCAACTGTACAGGACATTGGTGAAGCCACTTTTAGATTAATGCATACTAATCTGGTCGCCCTGCTATAGGAAGGATGTTGTTAAATTTGAGAGGGTGCAGAAAAGATTTACAAGGATGTAGCTGGGACTGGACGGTTTCAGTTATAGGGAGAGGCTAAATAAGGCTGGGCCTTCTTTCCTGGAGTGTCGGGGTGTTCTTATAGAGGTTTATAAATCATCTGGGGGCATGGATAGGGTGAATAGCCAAGGTCTTTTTCCTACATCGGGGAGTCCAAAACAAGAGAGCATAATTTTAAGTTGAGGGGGCAAAAAAGTTTAAAAATGACCTGAGGGATAACTTGTTCATGCAGAGAGTGATGTGTGTATAGAATGAGCTGCCAGAGGAAGTGGTGGAGGCAGGTGCAATTAGAACATTAAGAGGCATCTGGATGGGTCTACATGAAGGAAGGGCTTAGAGGGATATGGGACAAATGCCGGCAAATGGGACTAGGTCAGATTGGGATGTCTGGTCGGTGAGGATGAGTTGGAACGAAGGGATTGTTTCCGTGCTCTATGACTCTACTTTATCCAAAAATACTGAAGGATCTCTCAAGCACTCAACCATAAGCACAAACTTTCTTGAAACTAATGTACCTATGTCACTGCTCCAAATGACTTCTTAACCTATTTGGCAACTAAACTACCTTCTTAGAACTAACCAAAATCTGCTTCTATTTTAAAATCTAAATCCAAAAATATAATATATAATACACATCTCACCACAACAAAAAGAGCTACTTGAAGTGAGAGCATAATTTAATTTTTAAATCCTGCATCTTCATAATTTATAAAACACAAAACAAGAACTGTGTTTAATTATACATCAGCATCTCTTAAAATAAGTTTGTATTCATATATGTCTAAGGTAGAGACACAAAATGTTCAAGGTTTTTTGCTGTTGAAGAAAACATAATTAAGAGACAACTGAGCCAAAGAGCTAGCAAACAGGGAAAACAACATTGGACCAGAGGAAATATCAGAACACAGGCAGCAGGAATCAGAACTGGGCTAAAACATTTTAAGATTAAAACTCAGAAAACCAGAAATTGCACCAAACAGAAATCAAAGTTAAATGATCACCTATGGAGCCCACGGAAATGAATAAAAACTCAAAGTTCCAGTCTTTGTTGTGTTTGCATTATGCATGCACTTTTCCTTTGAAAGATTTTGACCATTTGTCTTAAGTTACAACTATTCTTCAAAGAGAAAATTAACACTAGTTGTCGCTGCAAAAAAACAATGGGGGGATTGGTATAAATAATCAAAATGAATTGTGTGGTTAAATAAATCTGACAATTTCTGAAATCAGAAGAATATAGTTGAAATGATTGGTCTTCGGAAATTAAGGAAATCTTTTTGTTTTTTTTAAACTCATGTATAACGTTACCCTTTCATGCTTACATATCTTAACTACATTCATGCAATAATGGAGACAAATAATCTAGCAGTGCTTTCTCTCGGATAGGATGGCAGATATATTAATTTTGGTTTCATGCTTCCATATTGTAGGTGCAGACCTTGCATTGGGAGACTACTTCACAACCTTTCATTTTGATTTTGTTAACTAGAAACCAGTTTGTTAGTCAATAATTGCTGACTTATTAGCTGCATTAAGAGCAAATGCTTTTATCTTAAAACAAAAATTTTTTACCTGCCCGTCTGGGTCCAACGTGATGAGATGTTAAAGATAGGGATGCAGATCGAGATTTGGGAATTGTCAACAGGTTTGAACTGGAAGGTCCATTTGCCTGTGAACCTGCATTTAAAGTACTTGAAAAGGGAAAACCGACAAACAAGTCAGTCAAAAAGCTGCTCTCAAATTACTTTAACACAAATAAAAGTTGCGTCCACCAATATGTAGTGCAAGCACAAATAAATAATGTTAAGAGATACAATTTCAATAGTTAACCGCTATGTTAAACTTCTTTGCCTTTATTTGTTTTGTCTCCATAAAAATATCAGAGCCATAGAGTCATAGAGTCATGCAGCACGGAAACAGACCCTTTGGTCCAACTCGCCCATGCCAATGAAAGTTTCCCAAACTAAACTAGTCCCATTTTCCTGCATTTGACCCATATCCCTCTGACCTTTCCTAATTTCTTTTAAGTGTTGTCACTGTACCTGCATCTACCACTTCCTCTGGCAGTTCATTCAACATATGAATCACCTTCTGTGTGAAAAAAGTGCCCCTCAGGTCCCTTTTAAATCTTTCTCCTCTCACCTTAAAACTGTGTTTTGAACTCCCCTACCCTCAGAAAAATACCTATGCTATTCACCTTGTCTATACTCCTGATAATTTTATAAACCTCTAGAAGGTTAACCCTCAAACCTCCCACATTCCAGTGAAAAAGTCCCATTCTATTCAGCCTCTCCATGTAACTTAGACTCACCAGTCCTGGTAACATGTTTGTAAATCTTTTCTGCTCCCTCTCCAATTTAATAATATCCTTCCTTTCGCAGGGCAACAGAACTGTACACAATAATCCAAAGTGGCCTCACTGATGTTTTGTACAACAGCACGTCTCAACTCTTATACTCAATAATCTGAGCAATGATGGTAAGCGTTCTAAATGCCTTCTTTATCATCCTGTCTACCTGTGATGCAACTTTCAAAGAAGTATGTACCTGAACCCCTAGATCTCTCTCTATTTGACAACACACCCCAGGATCCTACCATTAACTGTGTAAATCCTGCCCTTGTTTGTCTTCCAAATTGAGATTCATAGTCCTGAAGAAGTGTAATACCTGAAACGTGCACTTCTCCCTTCCTCCAGATGCTGTCTGGCTTGCTGTGTTCTTCCAGCCTCCTATTTGTCTACTTGGATTCCAGCATCTGCAGTTTTTTTGTCTCTATACATTACATTGCAACTGACATGGCCTCAGAACCAAAGAACTTTATAGCCAAAGAAAGGCTACAAGTTATAGTCACTGTTCTAATATAATAACCAATTTTGCAAAACAAGGTGCTACAAAGAGATAGAAGACTATGACCAAAGAGTCTGCTTTGATGACAGAACTGGAGCAATACACATTGGGAAGGCACCCTTGCTTGTCTGTCAATCACACAATGGGATTCTGTACCACTTATGGAGAAGGTAGAAGGGACTTCCGTATAATGTCTTCTCTGAAAGACAGCATGTCCAACAATACAACATTTCCTAAGTGCTGTATTACAGCATCAACTTATTTTACGTACTCACATCTCTGAAGTGGAATTTTAACCTGCAACCTTCTGGCTCAGTGATGCAGTTTTACAAACTGCCAGTGGAAAGCAAAACAATGTACTTTGACTGGATATTCAAGATTAACTGGTCTTTAAACAACTGTGCCCACAATTTTTTCACAGGAAAAGGAGATCAGATAGGCAAAGACAACATAATTCTTCAAGAAAAGATTTAAAATTTCAACCATCAATGAAACAACTTTAAAAAGTCCTTAGAAATAAATAACAAAATGGAGATGGAGCTAGTCAAATAGAATGCACTTAACAGAGAAAGCTAACGTACTAGAATCATGTAGCAAAATAAGGAGTAGGTGATTTTAAGATAGACTAGGGGACAGGTAGATATGATTTTGCATTTGAATGAACTATTCCCCATGCCATCATAAAACATTTTGCACCCCATATTGTAATGTTATTGTGTTCCAAAATCCAAATGTAAATATTTATTTTAACCATTGATACTGTGAAAATTAGACAACCACAAGTACAAATAATCTCTTTTTAAAAAGAATCATCTGTCTTATACAAATGATCATCACAAAGCAGGAATTTATTGTAGGGATACTCGATAGCATTTCCCTTTGCCAAATTTATTTAATATGGAATGGAAAACTTTTCCAAAATCTACGAAACTATTCTTGGCTGAAGTTATTACTTTCGAAATAAAAGCAAAACATGCTGGAAATATGCAGCAAGCCAGATAGCATCTGTGGAGAGAAAAAAAAAGAGTGAAGGCAAGAAATGCGGCAGAATCGTGACAGAAGTCTGACCAGGCCTCTCTCAATGTTGGGAGCAACTCACCGTGTCTTTTGACTTAGCTCTAGGGGTTGCGGAGAGATTTAAGACTGTTGACTATTATTGTTGGTTAAAGACTTGATTGACTGCTCAGCTGGTTTCATTCATACTCAGCTTCCCAACCCACCACCCAACACAAGCAAACTAGATGTCCAGAATTCTCAACATGGCGGTCAAAGCAAATAGCTCACCCCTGGCTGCGAAGAGCCACCATGTTGTTTACCATGCAACAAAACTTCAAGGCACAATCCATGGGCACTGGCCACACACACCCCTCATCAAGGGACAATGGCATCAAATAGATGCCAATCCCTCAGGCACCTCTCTGATCCACTTGCAGGATGCTTAGGAAGTACAGATTTGTATTGCAGAATGCACTAGCAACTTGCACTAGAAGGCTGTTATGGCAGCCAATTCATGGATGGGACCAGGTTGCTCACTTGCTTTCTTACTGCTCAATCACTTAGCACCAATCTGCATGCTCACTGCATCACAGTCTCACATGGCAATGTCTGTTAGCGCCGTAACATAGCCAAGCAGCTTACGGTGACAATCAGCCTCAGGTTAAGCGTATACACATTGCTGTATGGCAGCATGCTACGTCAACAGCACATCTGTATCACATGCTGGCAGCTTGTACGGGAAATATGTACAACTAACAGGCAGCCACATCTCAAAAGTCTTAAGGGAGTAGTTGTCACCAAAGTCCATGGAGGCACTAGTCCGTCAAAGGGTCCCAGCACTGTAAGTCAAGGGTAGCCTTCATTCCAGGGGATTGGCCATGGACAGGTATCTGACCAGGGTATTCTCAGTCGGAGTCCATGCCTCTGCATTCCAGAGAGTGGGTCACAGTCAGTCTTGTGGTTCCATAGCAACCAATCCAGAGAACAGGCATAACAATCAGGGATATTTACAGGCATCACTCACAGGTCTTAGATCTTCTCATCTGGGGTTATCCAGAGAAATTTGGAGAAAGGATGGATGTTGGAAACCACTGGCCGTGGAGAATGCACTGCTGCTTTCCATTGTTCTGGAAATCAAAACTTGACAATGGAAAGGAACTACACACCTGAAGCGAGTGGGGCAAGCACCTTGACCTGTGAGAGACAAGTCTGCAAGACCCACCAACCTGAGGTTCTTAACTTGGCTGACTGCAAGGATTCAGGGGTCAGAGAGTCATCCAGCACAGAAACAAACCTTTCGGTCCAACCAGTCCATGTCAAACATAATACCGAAACTAAACGAGTCCCACCTGCCTGCTCCTTGTCCACATCCCTCCAAACCTTTCCTATTTATATATCCATTGAAATGTCCATTAAAGGTTGTAATTGGACCCATATCCACCACTTCACCAGGAAGCTCATTCCACACGCGACCACTCTTTGTGTAAAAAATTTGCCTTGTGTCTTTTTAAAAATCTCTCTCCTCTCATCTTAACAATATGCCCCCTTGTCTTGAAATTCCCCATCTTAGGGAAAAGACAACTACCATCAACTTTATCTATACTTTTCATTATTTTATAAACTTCTATCAGGTCACCTCTCAACCTTCTACACTCCAGTGAAAAAAGTCCCAGCCTGTCCAGCCGTTCCTTACAACTCAAACCTTCCATTCCTGGCAACATCCTGGTAAATCTCTTCTGAATCCTCTCCATCTTGACAATATCCTTCCCATAACTGAGTGACCAGAACAGGACACCGTATTCTCGAAGAGGCCTCACTAATATCCTGTACAACCTCAACATAACATCCCACCTCCTCTACTCAAAGAACTGAGCACTGAGGGCAAGCATGCCAAAGGCCTTTTTAATCATCCTGTCCATATGAGGCACAAACTTTAAAGAATTATGTACCTGCACCTTTAGGTCCCTCTGTTCTACAACACTTCAAGGCCCTACCATTAATTGTATAAGCCCTACCCTTGTTTGTTGTACCAAAATGCAATATCTCGCATTTATCTAGATTGAACTCCATCTGCCATTTTTCAGCCCATCGACCCATTTGATCAAGATCCCTTTATAATCTTAGAAAATCTTCTTCACTATTTACAATGCCACCAATTTTGGTGTCATCCACAAACTTACTAACCATGCCTTCTATATTCTCATCCCAATCATTTATATAAATTACAAACAAAAGGGGACCCAGAAGCGATCCCTTTGGAACACCACTGGTCACAGGCCTCTAGTCTGGAAAGCAACCCTCCATCATTACTCTGTATCTCCTGCTGTTAAGCGAATTATGTATCCCATTGGCAAACTCACCCTGAATCCCATGTCACCTAACTTTGCTAATTAGTCTACCATGCAGAACCTTGTCGAAGGCTTTACTAAAATCCAAATAAACAACATCTACTCATCTGCCATCAACAACTTTTTGGCAACTTTCCTCAAAAAACTCAAGTTTATGACACAATTTTTCTCGCACAAAACCATGCTGACTATCCCAAATCCATTTTTGCCTCTCTAAATATTCATAAATCCTATCTTTTATAATTACCTCCAACAATTTACCCACAACCGAAGTCAGACTCACAGGTCGATAGTTCCCCGATTTCTCCTTACAACCTTTCGTAGACAAAAAGGTACAACATTAGCCACTCTCCAGTCATCAGGCACCTCACCTGTAGTTATAGATGATGCAAATATTTCTGCAAGGGGTCTTCTAACTTCCTCCCTTACTTCCACAACGTTCTGGGACACATTAGATCAGGGTCCTGGAGACTTATCCACTTTTATATTCTCTTAAGACCTCCTGAACTTCCTCTCCTGTAATGTGCACTGTTTGTAAAACATCAGAGTTTACTTCTCTGCATTCTCTAGACCCCATTTCTTTCTCCACAGTAAAAACTGACGTGAAATACTCACTTAGTATCTCTCCAATCTCCTGGGGTTCAACCCAAAGATGATCTCCTTGATTTTTAAGAGGCCCAACCCAACTCTAATTACCCTCTTGCTCTTAGTGTATTTGTTGAATTTCTTTGGATTATCCTTACCCTTATCTACCAATGCTATCTCATATCCCCTCTTTGCATTCCTAATTTCTCTCTTAAGAATGCCCCTACACTCTTTATATTGATTAAGAGATTCAGTTGAACCAAGTTGTCTACATCTAAAACACTATTCTTTTTTATTCTAGAACCTCAATATCTTGATTCATCCATTGTTGCTTAATCTTATCAGCTTTACCTTTCACTCTACCAGGAACAAAATGCCTCTGAACTCTCATCATCACACTCTTGAACGCCTCCCACTTGTCAGATGTCCTTTTACCTGTGAACAGTCTACTTCAATCACCTTTTGAAAGTTCTTGTCTTATACCATCAAAATTTACCTTACCCCAATTAAAAACTTTAACTTTTATGGAAGGCTGATCCTTTTACATAATTCTATTAGTTTCAAAATAGTTATGATTGCTAAACCTAAAGTGTTCTGCCACTTACTTCAGTCACCTGCTCTGCCTTATTGTCCAAAAGGTCTAGGTTTGCTCCTTTTTTAGTAGGAACATTAACTTATTGATTAAGATAAATTTCTTGAGTACGTTTGACAAATTCTTCACCATTCAAACCTTTAACACTATGGTAGCCCCAGTCAATGTTTGGAAAATTAAAATTCCACATTTTTACAACCTTATTATGCTCACATACATCGGAGACCTCCCTACATATTTGTTTCTCATTTTCTCTCTCACTATTGGGGCACCTGTAGTATAATGCCATCAAAGTGATCTTTCCTTTCTTATTTGTAATTTCTACCCATATATTTTCACTGGACAATTTTTCAGAAATATCTTCCCTAGTTACAGCAGTAATGCATTCCTTAATCAAAAACGTCACCCTCCCTCCCATCTTGCCTCTTTTTCTATCCTTCCTATAGGATCTAAAATCAGGAAAATTGAGCTGCCAGTCTTGTCCATCTCTCAGCCAAGTTTCTGTTATAGCTATGACATCCCAATCCTATGTTCTTAAACATACCACTGGAATGTACAAAAAGAACCCTCTAAAACACATTAAGAATTTTTAAATTTCTGAATCAGAAATAAAACAAAACTTCAGCCATTCACTGTAGACCCTTAAAATTCCATTTTAAAAAAGTCCGTTTGAGAAAAAAATCGTGGTTTTTTTGTGCGTTTTTTTAACAAAACAAAATGGAAAAAGTATTATATTAGTAAACTATAATGACTGTAATAACTAAAAAAAAACTATATTCAATCTTTATCTAAGCCTGCAATCCCAGAAGCAGCTGCAAGATCCATGCTGCTGCTTGTCAGCTTAATAAAAACAGGCCTTCATTCATTAAAGTTTAGAAGAATTGAGGGGTGATTTCACTGAAACATACAAGATTGTGAATGCGCTTTACAGATGTTGACATGATGTTTTCATTGATGGTGGAATCTCAAACTATGGTTACAGAGTACGGAGGCAGGCATTTAAAACTTAGATCCAAATAAATTTATTCCCTCAGAGGGTAGTGAATGTTCAGAGTTCTATACCCAAGAGCGTTGTACAGGTTGGATCACTGAATATATTAAAGAGGAGATTGATAAATTTTTGAAATACCGAAGAGGGATATAACAAGCTGGTGTCAAAGAAGGGTTCAGGCCTGGGCAGATCAGCCATGATCTAATAGATGGTGGGGCAGACTGGAGATGAATGTCATATTCCTGTTCTTGTTATCTATGTTCTTTAGAGAGCAAGAACACTATACACAGAGTCTGCACTCCTGCAAGGTCCCTAATCCTGGTGATCTTAATGCATTGGCTCCCTATTTGTTATGTACTGCTTGCCCCAACTTTGTCAGGAGAGGCCAGGGAAAGAATATGCATTTTTGACAACGAGGAGCAATAGTGGAGCCATACTGTACCCATTGCTCTATATATACTTGGTTTATCTTAGAACACAGAACTGTACAGCACAGGAATGGGGCCTTTGGCCCACGATGTTATGCCAAACATTACGCCAAACAAAACTAATCCTTTCTGCCTGGCCTTGGTCCATATCCCTCCATTTCTTGCATATTCATGCACTTATCTAAAAGTCCCTTAAATGCCCCTATTTTATCTGCCTCTATCACCACCCTGGCAGTGCCAGACTCCTACCACTATCTGTGTAAAAAAACTTGCCCCTCATGTCTCCTTTGAATTTTCTCCCTCTAACCTAAAATGCATGCCCGCTAGGATTAGACATTTGAACTCTGAGAAAAGATTCTGACCATCAACCCTAACTATGCATCTCATAATTTTAATGACTTTGATCAAGTCTCCCCTCAGCCTGCACTGCTCGAGAGAAAACAACACGAGTTTTCCAGCTTCTCAGAATCGTCATAGATGATACAGTGTGGAAACAAGCCATTCGGCCCAACAGGTCCACACTGACCCTCCGAAGAGCATCTCATCCAGACCCATTCCCCTGCCCTATCTTTGTAACCCTGCAGCTTCATAGAACTTCATAGAATCCCTACAGTGTGGAAACAGGCCCTTCGGCCCAACAAGTCCACACCGACCCTTGGAGCATCCCACCCATACCCATCCTCCTATAACCCACTAAGCTACACATCCCTGAACACTGGGCAATTTAGCATGGCCATTCCACCTAGCCTGCACATCTTTGGACTGTGGGAGGAAACTGGAGCACCGCAGGACCTCATCCCTCTTTCTACCGATGTCGTTGGTACCAACATGCACCACGACCATTGGCTGCTCACCCTCCCCCTTAAGAATTTCACACAACCGCTCAGACATCCTCGACCCAGGCACCAAGGAGGCAACACACCATTCTGGAGTCTCGGATGCAGCCACAGAAATGTCTGTCTGTGTCCCTAATTAGCGAGTCTTCAACCACTATCGCTTGCTTGAATCTTGCCCCATCCTGCTCTACAGCAGAGCCAGTTTATACTCACCTGAGCGGCTACCCCCTCCAACAGTATCCAAAATGGTATACCTGTTAAAGAAGGGAATAGCCACAGGAGACTTCTGTACTACCTGCCTGTCTCTCCTGGCAGTTACCCATCTACCCGACTGAACCTCTGGTGTGACCACCTCCCTGTAACTAGTGTCTATTACACTCTCTGTCCCCGTATGCTCCTCAGTATGTCCAACTGCCGCTGCAACCGAACAACGCAATCTGTGAGGAGTTGCAGCCAGTCACGCTTTCTGCACACAGTCATCAGGGACACTACACTGCTCCCTGATTTCCCACATCTGGCAGAAGCACACCACTGCACTAACTGCCATCTCCGCCCCTTTACACTAAGAAAGACAAAAAAAAAACTCTTGCCTGGGTTAGTCAGTGAAGCCCAGTATCCACCTAAACATGCACTTATACCAACTAGCTGCACTGACTGATCCCTGAAATTACAGTGCAATCTTTACAAGCTGACCAAAAACCCTATAGGCTACAACAAACTTCCTATCAGTCTCTCTTGTTTCCACATGCTGCAGTAGTCGCTTAACACAGACATCAATCAACTGGAGATCCTGTATGGACATGATGTTTGGCATCATGCGGCCACAGTTAGACTCTGGTCTACACAGAGACTCAAACAAACAAACAAACAAACAAACAAACAAACACAGTTCTAGTGTAGGACTTCTTCCAGGAATGGAATGTGGTACGCATGTTTCCCTCTGAGCTGTGACACTATACAACCACTGGAAAAACTCAATTGGCATGCTAATGCATTGTTTTTGCCTCCAGAAATTATTCAAATCGGCACCTTCAAGTCAAAACCAAAAGTCACGCCAACCAGTGTCATCGAGCTGCAGCATGCAGATGATGCTTCGGTACGTGCACTCTCAGAAGATGTACTCCAGACCATTGTCAGCATACGAGAGCATGCGCCGCACCCTGAGGAGCCACAAGACAAAGGTCTTCCACCAACCTGACCTGACACTGTGGAGCAACACCCTGATCATCAAGGTCTACACGGAGGCCTTAGAGAATATTGACTAATTCCAATACTCGTGTCCCGTCAACCAAAGCGGCTTTTGATGAAGAGATCCAGCACCACCCCAGTGCGCTAGTGCAGCCTTCAGCTGCTGAGGAAAAGGGTGTTCAAGGACAACATCATCAGATCTGGCACCAAGATTGATACGATGTGGAGCTGGAGGAACCATGCAGGTCAGGTAGCATCAGAAGAGCAGGAAAGTTGACATTTCAGGTCAGGATCCTTCATCAGGACTGTGATAATGGTTGTCGTGGTTTAGTCCAAATTGGGATGGTCTGAATGTTGTTTGGAGTCCATGGGGGATGAGCTAGCTGCATAAACAGGTACTGAGAAAGAAGATGTAGCTGTAGTAACGGGTTTGTTTCAGGATGTGGTTGAAGACCTTCAGGCAGAGGAGATCACCAAGGGGTTGCAGTGGGAAGGAGACCCACTGAGATCTTTTCGGATGGAAGAGAACAACTTCTTCAAATTGGGCATCCTTGGAAGAGGCTTCGCAGTTGGGTTTTCAGCAACTAGGAGATAGCAAGAACTACAGATGCTGGAAGTCAGAGTCAACACAGTGTGGAGCTGGAAGAACACATCAGGACCAAACAACATTCAGACCATCCCAATTTGGACCAAACCACGACAACCGTTATCGCAGTCCTGTTGATGGGTCCCGATCCGAAACGTCGACTTTCCTGCTCCTCCGATCCTGCCTGACCTGCTGTGTTCCTCCAGCTCCACGCTGTATCAACTCGGACTTCCAGCATCTGTAGTTCTTGCTAGCTCCTCTGGCACCAAGATCATGGTTTACAGAGCTGTTGTGGTTCCTACCTTCCTATATGATTCTGAGACATGGACTATCTACAGCAGGCACCTCAAGGCACCACATCAGTACCACCAAAACTGCTTGCGCAAGATCCTGCAAATCCGCTGGGAAGAAAGATGCACCAATACCAGCGACCTCGACCGGGCTGACACCCCCAGCATTGAGGTACTGACCACTTTGATTGGCTATGATGAGCTGGGCACGTTGACCGCATGGCTGACAAGTCTCCCCAAGCAGGCGCTTGACTCCCAGCTTCGAAAATGGCAGGTTAGTCCCAGGTGGACAGAGGAAGCGCATCAGTGATACTTCAAGGCCTCACTGGCCCAAGACCGTCCAAAGTAGAGGAGGAGCAGCAGGAAAACGCATAAGTCAGGTGAAAGCAACAAAAGCAGCACGATGCTACACCAATGTCCCATCCACCCCTTCCCACAACCACCTTCTGCCCCAAGCGTAATAGAGCTTGCAGAATCCGCATCAGTCTACACAGCAACCTACGGACTCACGCTGAGAGTGGAAGAGAGTCATCCTCATCTGTGAGTAACTGCCAATGATGAATGAATGATGATTATTAAAATGGCAAGCAACTGGAAGGTTGGGATCATTTTTGCAGACAGAGTGGAATATTCCACAAAGTACTTACCCAATCTGTGTTTGGTCTCAACAACATAAGGAAAAGCATATTGTGAGCAGCGAATGCAGGACACTAGATTGAGAGTAGTACAAGTAAAATGTTTACAGGAAGGCCCACTTGACCCGAAATGTTAACTCTGACTTCTCCCCATAGATGCTGTTAGGCCTGCTGAACTTTACCGGCAATTTCTGTTTTTGTTTCTGATTTGCAGTATTCACAGTTCTTTCAGTTTTTAAAATGTTGCTTCACCTGGAAGACGTATTTGGGGCTGTCACGAGGGAGGTTCAACGATGGAGTGAAAAAGTGTTAAGTGTGCGTGGCACGGTGGCTGTGGTTGGAACTGCTGCCTCACAGTGCCAGGGACCCAAGTTTGACTCCACCTTCCAGCTACTGTCTGTGTGCAGTTTGCACGTTCTCCCAGTGTCTGCGTAGATTTCCTCCGGGTGTTCCAGTTTCCTGCCACAGTCCAACGATGTGCAGGTTGGGTGGATTGGCCATGCTAACTTGCCCATAGTGTACAGAAAATAGCAGGCTAGGTGGATTAGTCACAGGAAATGCAAAGTTACAGGGATAAGGTAGGGGGGTGGGTTTGGGTGGGATGCTCTTCAGAGGGTCCATGTGGATGCGATGGGCCAAATGGCCTGCTTTCAAACTGTAGGGATTCTATGACTGATGGAGGAGTGGACATGGGTCTCAGAAAGAATGGTGCCTGTGGAATACTCATAGTGGAAGGGAAGGGAAGTTGTCTTATGGCATCCTGCTGGGGTGGCAATAATAGCAGAAGATGATCTTTTGAGTGCAGAAATTCGTGGCTTGGAAAGTGAGGACAAGGTGAACCCTATCAATGTTCAGGGAAGGAGAGGAGGATTAGAGGGCAGAAGTGCGGGAGATGCAACAGACGCAGCTGAGGGCCCTGTCAACCATAGTGGAGGAAAATCCCTGGTTGAGGAAAAAGGTCATTATGTAAGACACACCCTGGTGGAAGGTGGAATCATTGGAACAGACACAACAAAGGTGGAAAAACTAACAGAATGGAAATCCTTGCAGGAAGTCGGCTGTAAGGAACTGTAGTCGTGGTAACTGTGTAGAGTCAAAAAAAAACTGCAGATGCTGGAATCCAAGGTTGACAAACAGGAGGGTAGAAGACCACAGCAAGCCAGGCAGCATCTGGAGGAAAGGAGAGGTCAACATTTTGGGTATTACCCTTCTTCAGGACTACGATGTGTGTGTATGTCAGTGGGCTCATAATGGACATTGGCGGACAGTTTATTCCCAAAAATGGAAGCAGAGAACTTGAGGAAGGGGAGGGAAGAGTCAGAGATGGAACAGGTGAAGGTGACAGAATGTTAGAAATTGGAGGCAAAACTAATGATTCCAATTCCAGACAAGACCACGAAGCAGCTTTGATAACATTATCAATGGATTAGATTAACAGTTATGGGTGAGATCCTGAACAGGACTTGAACGAAGAATACTCCACATACCATGCAAAGAGACAGGCATACCTGGGATCCATGTTGGTCAGACACAAACACAACTTTGCATAGGAGAAAAGGAGCTGAGTTAAAGGAGAAGTTGCTCAAAGTGAGAATGAGCTCAGCCAGATGGAAGATAGTGATGGATGGAGACTCTGCCGGCCTCTTTTCATGGAAGAAGTGAAGAGTTTCAGACTATCCTGATGAGCAATGGACATCTACAGGGATTGCACATCCAAGGTGAAGAGGGAACAGCTAAAGCCTAAAAAGTGGAAATTGTGGAATTCACAAAGTATCAGAGGAATCACGAATGAAAAATGGAGTTAAACTAGGAAGAAGTGTTTAGTGGGGCAGGAACAGGCTGAACTGATGTCTGCCAGTGCAGTGCTACTTGTGGACTTTGGGAAGAAGGTACAAGCATCCTGTACTTGGTTGGGGTTTGAGGTTGGTGGGGGACATTTCCAAAGGAGAAGGTCAGTGACAGTCCTGGAAACAACAACTTAATTTTTCAGTGGTGGGGCCAACATCCAGGGCAGATAGCAGAAAGTGTCCGAGACTTGGTGCTCAGCTTCTGTCGGCAAATATATAAATACTAAGCTACAAAAGCAGGTCAGGGAGTAAGAATCTTACAGAAAGTAATTCAATTCTGACAGTTTGATACAACTTTGATAAAATATATATCCAGCAGTGCACACAATTGCTAGGATGGAGCACAGGCAAAGTCAGCTTGCCTCCCAATTTTACTTAAAATCAAAGTGATGTTTGAGGAACTAGACCCAGGATCATTCCTATCCAGTTCTAAAACTAAGCACATCTGTACTGCTTGAGTCATGTAGCTACCATTAGGTCAACAGCTGAAAAGGATCTGAATCTGACATTCAGTTTTCAAACAATCGTAGAGCACAGCAGCAGACTCTACCACCCATCATGCTTATTCAAGCTCTCAGAAAGAGTTTTCCACTTAGCTCCACCTGCTCTTTTCTGATTGTCCTGATAGATATTTTTTAAAAAATATTTTTAAAAAAACCCTTCCATGCAGTGAATTTCAGATCCCTGCTGCATGAATGATAATAAAAAAAAAAGTCCTGGCCCTAATTTACTCAATCAAAACTCTTTCTTGTTCAGAAAGCATCAATTGAATGCACTATTATTTCCATGTGTGAAAGCCATGAGAGCAGTCATCAGGGAAGAGACCTTTGAAAACAAAAAGAAGGGGAAAAACAACTTATGGCAGCCAACTCCATTTCAGATCCTGATTCCCACTTTAGGAAGCCCTGCTCTAGGCTCCCTACAAATCCGAAGTTCCTCATCTCAAGTATCATTCTAATAAATCATCTCTTTACTCTTCTTGTACCATTGCCATTTTCCATAATTATCTTGTTCAAAACTGGACACAAGAAGTCCAGCTAAAGCCTAACCAGTGAGTTATAAAAGTTTATAGTAACTTACTTGTTTTTGTAATTTTGAAGACTTATTAATGGGATGTGGCTGGGCCACCATTTATTACTCATTTTAATTGCCCTGGAGACATTGGTGGTGAGCTACCTTCTTGAACTGCCACAGACCTTGGGCTGGGCAGACAATCACAATGTTACTAGGAAGAACTACCAAGATTTTGACCCAGCTACAATGAAGAAACAGTGATGTAGTTCCAAGTTAGAATGGTACGTAAC